TGCACTGATCACGAAATTATAGTATGTGGTTATCTCTTATGGGAGCTAAACATTGCTATATCAATGGAGTTTTCGAAAGTGTTGGAGCAACAACTACGCTTCGCATCTCTGGATGGAAAATTTGATCACAATATAATATTGGATCATGGCAAATATGCTTAGGATGTATATCCTGGGTTGGCAAGGGTAATTGAAAGCGTTACTTATCTTTTCAGTTATTATCTGTGCTATTGTTGGCATAAGGAGGTTAATGCGACAATGTTTGGAATTTTGGATAGGTTGTTGTACGGATCTCTCACTGGTTGGTCTAGTATGGAAGCAAGGTTATATAATAAGACCTTGTCTTCTTTAAGGATACATCGGAGAAAAATACTCTCTTTTGGTAATGATTGCGCGTAGGTTGGAGGCGGCAGTCAGAGGTTGTAGATAGTTGAACTCGTACATAGGGGTATTCTATTAGGAAGTGGTTATTTGGGAGGATTTCTGTATAGGAAGCAATGTATTTTGGAGGAAGGTTAGTTTTTATGTATTACATTAACTTTTCATGGATTTTGTTAATCGAGTTAGGCAGATGACTATACTATAGCGTTACCAACTTGTTAAGCGCTGGATGCATAGAAATTTTATGCGTTTGTTCTATGGAACTTGGAGGACTAGGGATTGTTACCCTTCGCTACATATTGGGTAAGATGGGATCGTTGATAGATACAACCTAAGAGTTATACATTTATGCTATTTTCTTATACATAGAAACTTAGTATATTGTTGGATATGTTGGAAATTTGGTGGAGCTCATCTAAAAAGGTTGTGCCACACAAAAACGGAAATGGATTTTGCAAAGTCATTAATTTAGAGTTTCGTGAATTCCAAGGACGGAATTCCTTTTGTTAGGGGGGAAGAATGTACTACCCCTAGTTTTAAAAAGGATAAAATGGGAATTTAATTTGGATTTTTATAGCATTTTTATTTAATTATGGGACTTATGTGGTTTATTTGCTTAGTTGATTTAGTGTGAATTTATTTTAAATTAATTGATTACTTGTAATTATTTATTTGTTTTATTTAATTGGTTAATTGTAATTATATATTGGTTTTATTTCATTGTTTAATTGTGATTAAATTTACTTATTTGATTTATGGGTTTTAAATGACGTGTATTAGAGTATGCTTTGTTATTAATGATATTAGGGTTTTGTTCTATGAAATTAGATTAGCCGACAGATGGTTAGACTGGATTAGGATTAGGGTTATTCATAGGTTTATATATACATAGAACATTATATGTTGGCAAGGGTTTTTGGTGAAACACCTTATTCACATATTAGAAAACAGAAAAACAGAGAGGTGAAGGTTTAAAAATATGAAGGGAAACTGGGAGAGGTTTCCAGCCATGGATTGAAGCCATTGTCAAGGAGGAAGGTGGGGTTTACTGTGAGATAGAACTAAGCAGTAGGAAGGTTGCCGATAGTCGTCCGTTCGTCGGAAACTCCATAGACGGCGTTATAAGGTTTCAAACCGAAACCTAAAGGCAAGTTTCATTCTATCTCCTTCCTGTAAACTTGTGTTCTGTGCATTCTATATAGTCTCCAGGAATTAATTAAATTTATAAAACTGGTGTTTGATGCATATTTGCCGGACTGTAAACTGATTAACGTATAGATAACTGAAGTTTGTTTTCTTTGCATAAACTGTTTGGATTATGTTTTAAACTCTTGTAAATTAATTCATAAAGGAATGTAAGGAGTTTCTAGGACTATTGGGACTTATCTTGCACCTTAAGAACTTTAAGAAAACTTTTGGAACAGAGGATAGAACTTTACCGGAATCAAGGAAGACGAATAGAGAAAACATAAACTGTTTTTTTTTTTCGGTTTAGATTTTTGTCAATTAATTCATAATGGAATTTGAGAAGTTTCTAGGATTGTTAGGAATTATTTTGAACCTTAAAAATCTTTAACAAAAGTGTGATAGAGGACTGAAGCTTTGCCGGAAGCAGAAAAAGGCAGCCGGAGGAAACGGAGAACGAAAAACGAAGGTTCAAAGAGTGGAGGAGCCTCCACCCTTCAATGGAGCCGGCTCCATTGAAGTGGAGCAGGCTCCACACTCTTGTGGAGGCGGCTCCAAGAGGGTAGAGCAGGCTCCACACTTTTGTGGAGCCGGCTCTTCTTTTGGAAATGCACAGTAAGTGCGTTTTATTGATTTTTCTTGTTACAGGGGCTTAAATGAAATTAATGGAAAGTGATATGGGGTTATAAATGTGTAAAATTAACCTATTAAAACCTTAAAATAATTAGTATATGCTAGTGTGTTAATATTAATGGACATCATGAATTTTTAAAGATTAATGTGCATGCTGTCCAAGAAGGAGGAAGTCTTAAATGTCTAGTTTGGTTAGCCAATTGAATGGACTGGAATGAAAGATATTTTAGGGATGTTGTATTAAAGATATTTATGATATATTTAAGTTCCATGAGGGTTGGTTGGGTTGTGGTTGTGGACGTCATGTAATTTAAATACATTGTTGCATGCTGTTATGAGTGGATGAGCTTTTATTTGCCGGTTTATTTTAACCAGTTTATTTGGGTAAGTATAAAATACCGTTGGGGTTTTATATAATGTGCATTGAGACTTCTTAGTGTTTTAAGATGGAGGATTAAAAAGGACGTCATGTAATAAAACGATAATTCTCATGCCGTCAGGGATTAAGGAGGATTTCTATTACTAGTCTTTGTTTTAATAATTTAAATGAACTAGTAAGAGAGTATGGTTAGGGATGTCTAGTATAATGTGCTCAGGTCATGTTGCTGATAGTCATTATACCATGATGTCGATGTTAATTGATGAACTGTTTAATTTATGTTTTATCAATTATATGGATGTGGATAATATAAATTGTTTATCATTAATTACACAATTTATTTGGAGAATTTATGATTATAACTGTTTAATGTATGTCTTATCAATTATATGGATGTGGATGATATAAATTGTTTATCATTAATTTTACAATTTATTTGGAGGATTTGTGATTATAATCATACACAGGATGCATGATAGGATTTTAATAATATCTGATTTCTATTATGCTGGTTTCTGGATTTATTTAATGTTCATTTGAGTGTGCATCATTTGTGGATCATTTGCATTATATGTACCGGTATGGGACGGTGACATATCAGGGATAGATTAGATTAAAAAAGCTAAGTCCTACCCCTTCATACATAAGGAATGGATTAACTAAAATAGTTAAATCCTACATGGATGCATGTCCTGTCAACTAAAATAGTTGAACGACATAATGGATATTTGTTCTATCTACTTGCACTAGGAAGGAATTTATATATATACTTATGGGACTGTGATACGAGCTTGAGTCTCCTGATCACGGTTATGGTGCGTATATCGCAAAGGTTGGTTAGCTAGATATAGCTGATGTTCCCTGGTAGGTCTAGGTACTTGGCCGCTGGAAAGCGTGTTTTTATGTCACTTTCTACCCAGGCTGAACTATGTTATAGGCTAGTGAGCATCCTATAGTGTGTATATATATATATATATATATGGACTATTTTAGATATTGCCGAGCTATCTAGGATGTATCTGAGTATCGGGTTTATGTACGGATTGTAGTAGGATGGAACTTGCATGTGGGCCTGACCCACCTTTATTTTCCAGGTGTTCGTGAGTACCAAGCTTAGGGATTGATCGTGGTGATGCAGATACAGTTACTTACTCTTTCGACTATATAGGATTTTCTTTCTTATTTTAGTTTTGAATTTGTATCCTGTAAATTTATTTATCAGTTGGTTTTATTAGGGGTCTACTGGATGGATTCTCGAGTTATACTGATTTGAAGGATTTAAATAATATTAATTTATTATTAAAAGTTTGAGGATGTTTATTTTAGATTCCTTTCAGCGCATTATTATTTTATTTTTAATTCAGTTTTTATTCCTGCTTGTTTACATATTGATTGTTTGGTATCCCTCGGATCTGTGCTCAGACTTGATCACCCGTGGCTCTAGAATCGAGGGGTATCACAATTCTTCCAAGCATGCCTCTGGCTCTTCCACATCACACTCTAGTAAGAAATCAGCCACTGCTTGCCCTTTGATGGCCGTTCGGGGTTCATACATGATATCAAAAGAGCTTAACTCTATCGCCCACTTCGTCATTTGTCCGGACAGATCGGGCTTATGCAGGATCACCCTTATGGGAAATGTGGTCAGAACGACTATTGGATGGGATTCAAAATAGTGCCTGAGCTTCCTTTTTGCGTTCACCAAAGACAAGATCACCCGTTCGGCCTTTGAATATCTTCGCTCTGGCTCGGCCAATGTTTTGCTTACATAAAAGACTGGGAACTGCTTACCCTCAGCACACCGGAGTAGAACATCGTTGGTTGAAACGCTAGACACTCCGAGGTATAAGAAGAGTTTTTCACCTGGCTCTGGGGCATTCAAAACTGGTGGGTTCCGCATATATTCTTTCAGATTGGTCAGTGCCTTCCTTTGCTCATTCCTCCAGGACTACTTTCCGTGTCCTCTGATTATATCAAAGAATGGTTTACACCGATCAAATAACTTAGAAATAAACCGACTCAATGCCGCTATGCGCCCGGTAAGAGCCTGAACTTCCTTAATAGTGCACGGTTCTGTATTGTTAAGCAGGGCTTCCGCTTGGGTTGGGTTGATCTCAATCCCTCTGTTGTTAACCACATGGCCAAGGAATTGCCCTGATCCCACGCCGAATGAGCACTTTGTCGGATTTAACCTCATTCCATACCTTCTTAATACATTAAACACTTCTTGCAAATGGTTCAAATGATGTCCCTTCTGCTTGCTCTTTACCACCATATTATCGATGTATGCCTCCACTGTTTTGCCCATTTGCTCTTTAAAAATTTTGCTAACCAACCTTTGGTACGTAGCCCCAGCATTTTTCAATCCGAACGGCATGACCTTGTAACAATAGATCCCTCGCTCGGTGATAAAAGAAGTCTTTTATTCATCGTTCGGATCCATAGGAATTTGATTATAGCCTGAATAAACATCAAGAAAAGTTAACAGCTCATATCCTGTTGTAGCGTCCACCATTTGATCAATCTTCAAAAGTGGAAAGTTATCCTTCGGGCAGGCCTTATTTAGATTGGTGAAGTCAATACAAACTCTCCATTTTCCATTCTTCTTTTGTATTACAACCACATTTGACAACCTGCTCGGGTATTGTACTTCTCCAATGAACCCAGCCTCCAACAATCGGTTTACCTCCTCAGCAATGATCTGGTTGCGTTCCGGGGCGAACCTCCTCTGTTTCTGCTTCACAGGCCTAACGTTCGGATCAACTTTAAGGGAGTGACAAAAGACAAAAGGGTCGATCCCTGGCATGTTTGAATGGCTCCAAGCGAACACATCTGCATTTTGAGAAAGGAAATCAATTAACTGGCGTTTTTCCTTATCTGAAAGTCGCGATCCTACTTTGTGGTTCAGTCTAGCCTCAAATGATCAATTTGAACTTCATCTAGAGGCTCTTCGGTCAGCATCATGGACTCCTCCTCCCTGCTCATGCCGAGGGGAGGTTCCTGTAATTGCTATTGGGCATCAACTGATTAGATGGGAGCCTTGCCCTTGCCTGCGGCCCTCAGGGTCACTGAATAGCATTCCTTTGCTGCAACCTGATCCCCATGGATATCAATCACCTTGCTCCCGTCTGGGCTTAGGTACCTCATCACTTGGTGTAGGGTTGAGGGGACTCCTTGTACCCTATGGATCCATCCTCTCCCCATCAACAAATTGTAAGAGGGATAGATCTCCACTACGACAAAACTTTCGACCAAGTCCCTCTCAGGTGCTCGGACCACCAATTCCACTGTGCCAATCAGTTCAACTCGTTTGCCATCAAACCCCAACAACGGATTTCCAGTAGACTTGAGCTCCTCCGGCTTAATTTAAAGCCGATCAAAAGTGACTCTAGGCATAATATTCGCACTGCTACCCAGATCGACAAGCACTCTGCGTACCAAACATTCTGCCACTGTCAGACTGACAACCAAGGGATCCTCATGTGAAATCTGAACTCGCATCAGGTCTGTCCTATCGAACCGTATCTGCATGGCCGAACTCTATTGGTGCAGGGTGTTGACATTGCCTACTCACCTCTTCATTTGCGCTTGGCGGAAGCGTGTTCGGAGCAATTCCTCAGATTCTACGGTTTGCTCGGGTCGGCCATGGATTGCGTTGATTATCCGTACGGGCTAAGCGTTATGGTGGTTCGGTTTTTGGTTTCTCTTAACCTGCTCAGCTGGATAACTTTGCTCTTGCACCGATCCTTGAACATACCCTGCAAACTCTCCCCTAGCGATCAACATCTCCACTTGTCTCCTTAAGTTCCTGCATTCATTAGTCTGATGACCAAAATCACTATGAAAAACACAATGTTTGGATTGATCCCGCTGCTCAAGCGGTTGTCTAATTGGTAAAAGAGGGCGAAACTTATCTTTGTTCTCTTGGTATAGCCGAGTGTAACTTTGAATGGAGTAATCAGGTCATCCTCTCTAGACCTCTTCTCTGTCTTTCAGGAGGTCTGACGTTGCGTAGGAACTTGCTTCTGCCGTATTTTCGCTTTGGACTTCTCTTCCGTGGAGATGATGGATAGCTTCCTAGTGTTAGCTGCTTCTTCCTCTTCCAGGTGTACGAAACCATCAGCCCTCTCATTTAGCTCGTCCATTGTCTTCGGCGTGTTTACCACCAGACTGGTATTGAATGGTGTCCCTCGGGTCATAGCTAACTTGAACACCTGAACTGCTGTGGAAGGATGGCACTCTATCACCATGCTCTTGGTTAGGTTAAACCTAGTAAGAAAAGCTTGGAGACGCTCGTCGTCATGTTGTTTCATGGTGAACAAGCTGGAGATATCCTTTGCCGGGCGCTTATTCCCATAGTATTGGCTTATGAATCGATCACACAAGTTACGGAAGCTGTCTACCGAGCCCCTCGGCAGGTTCTTAAACCAATTGAGCGTCGGTCCAGCTAAGCTTGTAGGAAAACACTTGCACATCAAAGGATCATTTTCTGTGTTCAGTGCCATCTTCAACTGAATGTGATAGACATGATCGATCGGATCGGTCGTTCTGTTGAACAGAATAAAAATAGGCATGGAAAACTTCCTCGGGCTCGGAGCATTCAGGATCTCATTGGTGAACGGCGAATCAACCGTCCGTGCTGCCAAACGGAAGGCTTCATTCTTTCTTTCAAACCTTGTGACAACTCTTTGGTCTATAGATCTTCTTTCCGAACTCCTATAATCGTATGTGGCCATTGAAGGCCGATAAGGTGGATCGATCGACCTTTCCTCTGTGAACCACAGTGAATTAACCTTGTGACAATCAAACTCCATACCCTGCTCGTGATTGTGCCTTTCCTGATGCGGATTGAGAGCTGTATTGTCATCCCGCCTAATATGCTCACGATGAGGATCGAGATGTACAGATCCTTCTCGATCCTCAGCTCGACGAGCAGTTGGCGGTATATTCTCCATCCTAACCTCCTCGCGATGGAGATTGACGTGCTTATCTCCTTCTTGCTCACCTTGATGTGCGTCATCAGGTCGTACGCCTCTTTCACCTACCGGAGGCCGTCGCGTCGCAATCGGAACCTCTTAACGTTCCATTCCAGCTCTCAACTCTGCATTTTCTTTTCTCAGTGCCTCGATCATGTTCATCAGTTCGTCAAGCTTCATCTGCTAGTTATTCTCCACTGGATTCGAATTCTCTTCTCCGATCATCATTTCGGATCGTAGCAAAGTCATCAACCGCAAATTTCTGATCAGATCTAAGTTTTGCCAATGCTGACGCTCTAGATCTGGATTCTAGTGCAGCTGAATGCTGATTGCCAAATTCGGCAATTTCAGCGACTTTTGACTGTTCAACTCTCCAAAATAAGCACAAAGCTGAACTCCGTAGATCAAACGCCGATTTCTCCGGTCTCAATTTTACCGACCTCAATTCTGCCTTCAACGATCAGGCTTCGTCCTCAAACGCTACACTACTAGATCAAATCAATCTGAGTGAATCATCAATCAATCCTCTTCAGTTCCCACAGATAGCGCCATTAAAGATGCATGAATTTTCTAAGTTGACAGAATTTCATTACACTTCAAAAATTTTCTTCCCCTATTCCTCCTTTCTCCTTTCTATTTATAGATCATTTGCATTACTCCAGAGCCTTCTTCACTAATTTCCACTGCTGGGCCTATCCTCAAGGTTCAGTGGTTATGGGTCTGAATCCTCCTTGAAGGCCTTTTTTAATCAGTCCAATACACCCGGTCTGCTTTGTGGACGTCAAGATCGGGCCCTTGTCAATTGTCAGGCCCATACTTCATTATGTGAATTGGATCTGGCCCAAGCCGTCTTTGGCGCCCTCCAGCTATATCCCACATCCTCAAGACTATATATATCATCTATTAACGTTTACTAAATAGAGCCGACGTCCAACCCAAGCTCAATAGGTTTTAACTCGGCCCGAGTGCGTCTATGGACCAGTCCAATCTGGTCTAGTGGTCCTCAAGAGGGGTGGGTCGGACTTGAACTAAGGTCCCACTGCCCAGTGTATGCCACTGGGCCCACTCCGCACGTTTTATATAATGCAAGTTTACTAGAGCCACTGTGGGTCAAATATATCATCAAATATATATATATATATATATATATATATATATATATATATATTTCCCTAGTTAGAACTTAGATCACGACTTCCTTCACCCCAAGTGTACAAAGATGGACAAACCAAATTTAAAGGTTCTTGGGTTGTGATTTCAAAAGCTATATTTCTTTTACAACTAAATGATACTTTTTGTTTTTAAAATAAAAGTTACATGGTTAAGAGAAAAAATTATTATATTGTATCATAAACAATTAAAATGAAATTTTATTTTCTTTCCAAATTAAAATTGGAAAAAGCTATACACTACTAAATGAAGAAAGAATAATTAAGTCAGTCTCCCTCCAAGGTGATATATTTCATAGTCTAAAAGGAAATTTTGGTTTAATTTCATAATCTAAAGACAATTTGTCTAACACATAATCTCTATGGTTTTGAAAAACGACAAAGGTTATTGTAATGGGTCAGACGCTTGTTCCTAATTTAAAGTTTAAATTATTGAGTAATGCTACATGTACATCTATATATACATATTTTACTTCTCATCCAAATTCTATGTAAAATACCTCTCACATGCTCTCATTGTAATTTGTCACCCTGTACGATCAGGATATTTCTGAACTAGGCATTTTGCATGACACAAGAACTGAGTTTGGCTCGGTATCATTGCAAAGAATTGGACAATTACTTTCTGACCCAAAAAATTAAAATATTAACAACTATTCTTTTGATGTTTATACTTAAAAATGGAAAATTCTCATGCCAGCATAAATTCATAGTTCTTATAAAATGGAATAAGAAAAAATAAACCATACAAAACTTGAAAGACTAAATTGCATAGGCCAAGAATGCCATATTTGTCACATAACAAAATTTACAACGCCATATATAAAAGGAATATAACTCAGCAACATATAAAGGGCTATTGCCTCAAATTGAATTACTCTGTAGATGATGCAGAGTTGGGTTTTGGTGTCACGTTTTGCTTATTTATGCACGATAGCGAAATATAGATATCGCTTAGATTTGTTTTTATTAAATATGGAAACATTTTGATAGAAACATACAGTAATATAAAGGGGTCTCTCTCATTTCTCTCTCTTCTTTCTCTCTCTTTGGATTTCTCTCTCCTCTCTCCTCTCTCCTCAGAAGGTCAAAAAAAACCCTAAGAGCTGTTTACCCACAAGTAAGTTCTCTCTCCTCTTTCTCAAATATAACTTTACCATTTCTCTCTCTTATATATGAATTTTTCCCTCTTTGTACTGGTCTTGCTTGTCATTTTTATTTCTATATATAAATTTCTGAGAAGGTCTTTTATATTTCGGAAATTTCTTCCTCGTATGAGATCCAAGTTAAAAACGATAAAAATTTCAACTTTTCTTTTGAAATTACATTTATGTGGTTTTCTTAATATCAGAGCATTGGATTGATGTTGGTATTGCTATTTTTTTTTTGGTTTCTTCAATCTAGTGGTTTAGATCTTCTTTCCCAGTGCGATTGTAGTTTGAAGCTTGTGCCTTTCTGTGTTTGGTTCGGTTTTCATTTCTTTTTAATGGTTGTCTTTTCTTATTCGCATTGTTATCAGGATGACAATGCCAATAATAAGTTTATTGGAAGTTCCAATTGGTGCTGTTTTTTTCTGGGCATTGGTCCCATTTTTCAATCAACCTTATGGCTGTTTGGATGTTCTCACCTTTACGTGTGATTCACAATTGCATTGCCTCTAATGGCTGAATTGAAAATCTAGTGAAGATTTAAACACATGTTTTTTTGTGATGATATGTAGTTTTGATGGACGATGATGGATTGAATATGCGGAATTGGGGTTATTATGAACCTTCCCTCAAAGGGCATCTTGGTCTGCAGCTCATGTCATCTGTGGCAGAGCGAGACACAAAATCTTTCCTATCTGGGCGTGATCATACTGTAATGGTCAGTGCAAATGGGGCTTTTCACCCTCGGGATTGCATGGTTTCAGAAGCACCTGTACACATGGACTATGTGAGGGACAGTTGGGTAAACCAGAGAGATAAATTTCTTAATATGTTACCGGGAAACCCGAATTTTGCAGTTTTTCCTAGACCTTCTGGAAGTAACCCCATGCAAATTTTACAGCCCCCTGATTCATTAAAGGACGTGAGGGTGGGTATGGAAGATCCAGGCATTAGGAAGGAGGGTGTCTCTTTAAAGAAAAGGACAGGTGGTAGCATCCCCAAAACTCCAAAATCAAAGAAGACTAAGAAAGACCCTGCTGTCCTAAAGGAGAATGGAAACCCTTCTGTTCAACGAGCTAAACCAGTGAAGAATATGGATGTTGTCATAAACGGGATCGATATGGACATTTCAGGCATTCCTATACCTGTTTGCTCATGCACTGGAACTCCTCAGCAGTGTTATCGATGGGGTTGTTGTGGTTGGCAATCTGCTTGTTGTACCACAACGATATCGATGTACCCCTTGCCAATGAGCACCAAAAGACGTGGAGCAAGGATAGCTGGAAGGAAGATGAGTCAGGGTGCTTTCAAGAAGGTATTGGAGAAACTCGCAGCTGAAGGTTATAACTTCTCTAACCCAATTGATCTGAGGAGTCACTGGGCGAAACATGGTACCAACAAGTTCGTCACAATCAGGTAGATTTACATTGTGGTTACCGTTACCGGACTCTCATTGAATCTGGTCTGCTTTACCTGTATATGTCTGTGGCCTGTTGCAGAAGTTTATCTGTTCTGATGTAGTCCATGAATATTCAGATTATACGTGTTCTTGAACTCAGAAACCTGGAGTTCTTTGGAAATGTTGTTTAATTTTCCTGTTCATGTTTGAAAGGCTATCATTTCTGGCCTCCAGAATGTAGGATGGTGCACAAGTTTTATTTATTGGATCATTTTGGGATTATATCCTTTCGTATTTCCATTTGTTGTTGAAGATTAGCAATTGAATGTTGCCTTTGCCGCTTGTTTTTCTAAAGACATGGCAGCATTTTTTGGGTTTATGATTGCTATTATTTATATTTTTAAATGCAAAAGTGTTATAATTGATTTGGCCATGACTGGTAATTTGATGATATTGTTGTGAAATTGCATAAGAAGGTAACTAGTTTTGTTATCACCAATTTTATTATGCCAGTTATTTATTGCTCATAAATCAATTTGGAAGAATTTCCCATGATCTATATACGTTAATGTGACTTGTGAGCATTGCGCTTCTAGCAGGTATATGAAATTTGTGAGAAAATGTCTCAATTTTTTTAGCAAAGAGATGACTACATGTCTTATTTGTGTTCATGGTCTTGAAAATATACATTTTATTTGTCTTCTGTTATTATGATTTTGCTTACGGAAATATGCATGTCAGCCGAGTAAAAAATATATAAAATAGTGTGTTTCTTCCTCGGAAAGAATGCACAATTAATTAACTATTGTGATGTTGTGGCCCGAATTTGGTGTTGGGTGGAAAATTTTAGACCCATTTTTGCTCATGGGTCGTGTACCCTAAGTAGTACTCTCTTGTAGACCAATATATAAAGGCATTTAGGGTTTCGAGTGTGTTGTGAGAGAGGCACTGAAATTCCTATAGAATTGAGAGTGAGGGGCTGAAACTTGTAACCTCTGATTTTACACATGATGAAGACTTTTGCCAGATCTCCACCGTGGACACAGGCTCTGCCGAACCATGTATAAATCCTTGTGTTCTTTATGTGGTGTGCTTATTTTTCTGTCGTGTTTCGTAATCGTTGCTTAGTTCGCTGCGTTTGTCGTAACAATTATCAAATAATGAAGAAAGTTCATTGTATTGGACACCGACAAAGATGCATGATAAACACATTTCCAACTAGTGTTGGCACTTTGAAGAGTGTCTGAATTTAATTATTGATGGGAAGCGGTCGTGCTTATGCCAACAAAAAAATTCTTCATTTTCTGGGTAGTGTCCTAAGTATACTTGTCCTTTTTATTAACTTATTGATGGAAAGACATGCAGCTCATGCCCAGACAAGTCAGTATGACATAGGTGTTACTTAATGTCTCATCAGAACTAATGAAGCATGGGATATGTGGTACAGAACTTCACTAATCCAGACCATTTTTTTTTCTTTTTCCTCACTTCTCTGGAAAGATGCATGGTGAAAGAAGTTTTCTTTTCCCTAAGGAGAGTGTAAATTAGTTTTCTTTGGAGTTCGAAGCAGTTGCAAAAATGTTCTTATTTTATTTTGGAAGAGGGGGATTTGAAGTGGACAAATATGATATACAGTATCTTAATTAGTTTGAGAATTTTAATAGTGGTTAAAGCTTCTGACTATATTAAAATATATTAGTAGTTTTTTTTTTTTTTTTTTTTTTGTAACGACAAAACACATATATGATTAGGTTTTATTTGTATGCTATTTGCTGATAATATTGTCTTAATTGATGGAAGTAGAGTAGGGATACATGCTAACTTAGAGGTTTAGAAAGAAGTTCTTGAATAAAGGTGGAGTCAAAGGTGAACTAAAAAGTAAGATAAGAAATGTAATTTTAACAAACTAGAAAAACTAGTAGGGATGTATTTAGGTTCCAGGATTGAGAGATACCAAAACGTGAACATCTTTGTTATCTAGATTCAATTAGTAAAAAAGAGTGAGAAATTGAAGATGATGTTAATCATACAATTAAAGCATAATGGATTAAATGGAGAGTGCTTCTGGAATATTGCGTGATTGATATATATATATCTAAAATTAAAAGGTAACTTTTTATATAACAATTACTAGACCAACCATACTTTATGGGACAAAATATTGGGTGGCTAAGAAACTACCTGTCACAAAATGAGGTTGAGATGGATGGATGTATGAAAAACAAGGATAAATAGAAATGTACACATTGCTGATGTGGTAAAAGTAGTTTCCATTAGAGATGAAATGAGGGTAAATCGATCAAGATGCTTTCATCATGTACATCAAAGATTAATTAATGGCATCAGTAAAAAGGTGGTTTGTATCTACATTGAATTTAGCATTTGGGATGGGGCAAAATTAATACTAAAATGAGTTGAAATTGAGAATGAGATGTGATAGCATGTCATTTGACTGTGCTTGTAGTCTTAGATAGAGTGGAATGGTGAAGTATAATACAAGTAGCTGATTTGAAATAGCTAGTAAAAGGCTGCGTTGAGTTGAGAAATCCCCTGTGCTTAATTAACCGCTTGCTCTGTTATTGTAGTAGTTGCATGTTCTAATTAGATCTCATAGCTTTATAAATTTTTACTAAAGAACCATGAACTGATTTAAACCAATAAAATCTTTAAAAAAACTAATACATTTCACTAACAGATGGTTGATTGTTCAGAATCTATAAAAGGGAGAATGCATCAAGCAGTTCTTTTGTGATTTATCATAGATGACAATATTTATCCCAAGTTTATATATAAGATGCAAATTTGTTTGAACAATAGACTTATTGTAAATCCATGGAGGAGTTAGTTGATTTTTTGGACTGTATGAGAGCTTAGAGGCCCTATTAGGCCTTGTGTATGAGAGCTTAGAGGCCCTATGGCCTAACTACGGATATTAGGGCAGGAGCAAATTCCAATTTAGAATGAAAAGGGAAGTAGAGGTGGACGGGGAGGTTTTGGAGTGGTTTTAATGCTTTGGTTTAGTAGTAAGGGTGGAAAACGTATTCACACAAGAAGGTGGAGGCCTTTCTTCTTTTTATTCACTTAGTTTATTTTCTTACATATAAAAGTAAGGTTAAAGGACAACAATGTAAAGGGATTGGGAGCCCATTTCTCCCATTCCTCGTACTTTTGGGAGGAAATCATATGGTGGACCCAGAGAGAGCATGACCCCCTCTCCTCTATTCCTTTTCCTCTTCTGTCCTACCAAACTATGGAAAGCCCGTCCATCCCTCTCCTTACACCAACTCTTCCCTCCTACCAGATGCACATTATTAATACTGAGTTGTTAATGTTCTCTATGGAGAAAATTGCATAGGGGAACATTTCCGTGCCAAAATCTGGCAAGCATCTAACTGAATCTATTCAACCTACAGCAGAACTGATCCTTTTCCTGATCAACCTATTGAGGAAATGCTTTCCTATAGGTACGAGGATCATTCACCTTTCGGATGAATCAATCATTTAGAGAAATCCCATACATCATGCAATAGTGGATCTCCCAACCCATCCTTCCTGAATTCTACAATTATTTTCCTAAATGTGCTATGTTTATTACAACCAAAAGTTGGATATCAATGCTGCTACTATGAATTTTTAACGTCCGTCTCTGTCAAATTCTTGACTCTTAGTCTTGGATGGTAAACAGAGAGAAGTAGTATGTCAGAGAACTTGAGAGGGAGCTCATAGGGTAGTTTAGCTTGCCTCCTGTACAAGGGTGAAGGCTTTATGAAGTATTTTGAATGTGGTAGGAAGGTGTCACACTGCATTAAAGTCCCATTGCGCTGCTGCCTTTTCTAATTTACTCGTCCCGTTCCATCCATATTTCCTACTAATATGCATGACAACCTCGTATGTGACTCAGATCAGTAATATTTTGAAGATTCGAGATGATGTCCCTTATCATAGGAACTTCCTCGCTAGACTTCTAGTTGTTTTGCAAATTACATTGCATCCCTCTTCTTCATCTCCATTTTTTTTTTTTGTATAATTTTTTAGTGAAAATGTTAGCCTCATCTCCCTTCATTTCTGTAGAGTTCTATATATGGAGTACATCTTTCTCAAACAATTTGAATCTTGGAGAACTCAGTTTCACTTTTATGTTTTTTTCCTTCCCCTTTAGTGTGTGGGGATAAGTAACCTACGACTCCATCTTTAGGTGACTGTCAGTTCTTTTTTAGAAAAGAATGAACTTCTTAGTTTCTATCTTCATAGTAGTCTATGCATGATTACCTGTTATTAGGTTGTATTAGATGCTCTGAAATAGTGGTGTAGAATTGGTGTAATATCCCTATTGTGGTTTCATTTACAAATTAATAAGTCTCCTTAAGTTGCAGGATGGCATCCCTTAATTGTTTCAGTTTCTACCAGTTGGTAACTATTGTGCAGTGCACTCTGCTCCGATGTGGTCTGACATGCTTATTGAATTGATTCAATATTTTCTACATGAAATCATAGTAGTTGAAACTAGAAAAAGGTTGGGCGTCTGTACTGATTTTTTTTCTCTCTTTCTTTTTTCCCGTCTATCTTGAGTTAGGCCTTTGCAGTATAACCATATTGTATACATATTTCAATACAAGATCTGTCATTTCTCTTCTTCAAATTAGTCAACATAGTTTTCTTATTGATGATTTATTTTGCTCCCTTGTCCATGAGAGCTAGATGATTGTGACCTGAACAATCTGAAGTATTTTTGGTGGACAAAAGTCTCTATTAGATTATTTGCATTTCTATAACTTGGTCACTGTGTACTTATCAATAATAATAATAATAATAACTTGGTCACTGTGTGGATATGCAGGAGATACCACTAGGTTAACTAGTATCAGGTAACAACTGGAAGTTGCTCAAACTCACCCCAACGCATCTTAGTGTTATTCATTGAGGATTTTGTGAGATGAAGATAAGCCTGGGCCATTAATTGTTTGTGGTAGAGGGTGGTTTTGGGGGCGAAATGTTGCGTCTTAAGCTTTATATGAGCCTTTCTAATCACGTTTATGGGATAGCTCCAATGTTTTAGAAGTTAATAACTGTGACATGATTAGGGTTTGTACCAGTTGCAGTTCACTGAGGATTTTAAAGTTTATTGTTTTAATAGTTATGCTATTTTAATCCAGAGACTTTGTTCCATAGAAGTTGTTAAATGCTGTTAGATCTTGTCTGATCACTTCTGCTTAAATATGTCTTATTTGAATCGGTATAAATTAGGCACTCTCTCTCTCTACCTTTAGAGGTAAAAAGATTTGAAGTTGTGTATGAGACAGCCGAATGATGCTTTTTGTGATTTGCAACTTTGAATTCTCGGAATAATTAGGTTCTTTAGGTCTGCTTGAAGTTATTTTGGCCTGGAAAGTTATGTGTATTTATGCAACAAATATATATATATATATGTATATTGGTATTGACTATTGAGTGAGAAATCCCCGAAATTGATGTATTTAGTAATCATAAGGAGGGTAACTAAAGCAGTAAAGCTACATCCACCCACTGCCTACTAGGAAGAAGCCCAAAAATCACAAATTGAGATCAACAAAACAGGGAAAATAATAACAATAATAATAGAAAATCCCTAAATTGTTGCTTATAAGGACAGTCAATCTTCTTGGAAAGGAGACAAAACCAACTCCAACTACTACAAGAAACTAATTAAATCTGGCGATCCTTCATTATTAGCATCTAGGTGGATAAGTGGAAGAGTTGAAGAATCTGCAGAAGGATCTTCTTTTGTCGCAGTAGTTTTTCCTATATTGAAAGAACAAGTTTCTCCATTAACCTTTACTAAATCTTCATCAAACAACTCCCACTTATCGGTGATTATGGTGTCGAAAGCAGTCACTGAATCCTTCCCTGCATCATCGGTATCCTCTTTCTTAACCAAATTGCTATTGATTATGAGCTCAAGTTCTCGGATGTCTTCTTCTTGGACTTGCTTGACTTTGGCACACTGTGATGCATTCAGAACGCCCGACTCTCTGCAAAATTCCAAGTACAAAGAGAGTTCTTCACCCTGCACTGTTGCTTTCTTTAAAACTGTGACTGCCATGGTTGCTTCGGCTTTTCTAGCAGAACAAATCCTCAGGACGACTCTAGCGATCCCATTACATATTCTGCTATAAATGTCAAAAATCTCGATGATAATGCAGTCAATGGCTTCATGAATTAGACTCGTATTTGTTGGTTTGAGTACTCGGGGCTTGATACAAAGTAACATATCAAGCAAACCTTGCAGTTTTTGCAGCCTCGCAATCTCTTGCACCGGAGGTAATTGCTCTCCTGTCTCTTCTCCGCTTTCTTCAGGACCTTCCTGCAAATCCATGGACAAGAAGACAGATTTTTTATCAAGAAATTCATAGTAAGCGCGAACTAAAGCATTGTAGCCGGATGCTTCAACCGGATTCAAGTGTCCGTCCTTGAAGTTCGATAGATCAAATGGTAAATGTCCGATATTGTTCACGGTGGGAACCCCACAGAAGAAAACACCATGCATGAGCACTAAACCCTTGAGGGCCACCACCCAGCTCCGAGTCTTGTCCATACGCATGTAAAGAGCCCGCAAGAAAGGGCTGAGGTAGGCCGGTGAGACGCGTATCCATGCAAAGACTCTCCAGGCATTTCTGTAATCGATAAGAGAATCGTCATGGCTGGTGGCTTTGATCACAGCCACCTCCATGTTGGGGTTGTGGAGCGCAGTCCTCCTCTTCAGGTTAGCAGTCCAAATGCTATTCCGGTCCTTGATCGCTCCAGAAGCCCGTTTCCACAGCTTCATCTTCATCATGAGTTTGCAGCTCTATTGCCCTCCAGAAGCGCTTTTGATATTGTTTTGCAGTTCTTCCATTTCTTCAACATCTCAGCAGCATTCATCAATTTTGGACATGTGGAGAATGGCCAATGAAATCCAAGAAGAAGGCGCCAATTTTGCCGGCCAATTAAAAGTTTAAATAAATAGTATGTAGTTCAATTTTAGTGATTTAAGAAACACTCTTAAAAACAGTCGACATTTTATAATAATCAAAACAATCAACGAATCAAGAGGTTTGTGAACTGAGTAAATGATAGAGTTCGATAGTCGAACAAATCAAACTAATTTTATGCGAGTACGAACTGATGTTATTATGATCTCAAAACGGAATTGTCCAACTTTCGAACTCTAAATTATTATTTTTGTGAGTAAAGTGAATAAAGCTTGTGCTAAGTAAGCATAGAAATAACCATTTTAATTTAAACGTAAAATGACCTTTAATCCTAAACAAGTTTTAAATAAATTATTTGTTTTAGAGAGTTTATGAGCGCAAGGTTTAAATAAGTTATTTGTTTTAGAGAGTTTATGGCCTTAATTCCTAAGCAAGTTTTAAATAAGTTACGGAGTACTTGTTTTAGAGAGTTTAGTTAATGCAAGGCAAACTTCCGTCTAATAGGCATGTATGCATACAATTAGTATATACTTTGCAAGCTTATGATTTCTACAAGCAGAAAATCATATATATGTGTGTGTGTGTGTGTGTGTGTGTGTGTGTGTGGGGTCCTGAATCTAGCAAAATGCCAAGGAGGGGAACAATTGTTTTATCCATTTTATCAATTAGTAGGCATCCTAGAGAAATTAACTTTTGAAGTGAAAATCATGTTTGACATATTTTTGTCAGATTTCATGTGGACCCATCGAACTAGGCAATTGAAAGGAAAGCTTAGAAAATATGGAGGAAAATTAGGGAACATGAAAAAAGGAGACACTGTGAGGGTAAATATAGAACCAAGATACTAGCTGACTTAATTCTTACTTTTTAGAGGTGTTGGAGGTTGGAGATTAAGTGAAAATATATATATATATGAATATCAACTAAGAAAAAAATAAAAATTTAGAGTCCGAACTAATACATTTATTCTACATTTTAATACATAAGAATGTGACAATAATGTTTAAAAAAAAAAAATTTAATAAAACGTATATCAACACTTATTATAGATTTTAAAACATAAAACATATGTTAAAATTTGAACAAATGTGTTCAAAATTATTTACAACACAAAAATTAATTGCTACAGAGCAATCGGGCTGTTTTCGCTGTCTTCTCATTTAATCAAAGCTAAGAAAATTAGTGATGCCATTTTCTCCATAGATGTCTTATCTTTAGGTTGCCAATATAATTTCTATGTTCCCAAACATGAAGAGGAGTAAATATAGCACTTTCTTTTCTTTGCTAATCTGTTCCTTTTGATTCCTTGATCAAGCTTATCCTACACACTCTTAATTTGTTCTCTCACTGATTAAGGTTAGTCTTAAAAGAATTAAAGAGAAAAAGATGGTTAGGCATAAAATAGCAAGTAAACCAATCAAGCTAAAGAGAAAAATAATAATAATAAAAAAATAATGGCATTAGTAAGAAAATAAAAAATATATATAATAATAATAATTATTATTATTATTACTATTTTTTTTTTTTTTTTGGGTAAAAAGAAGTATATAACACTTGACCACACTACTTTTGCAGATTAGTAGTACTTAGTTTATGGAAATGAACAACGGCTGGTAAAGAGGGGTAAAGGCAAGCCGTCGTCTCGCGCTTTCCGCTCTCCCTCTCTTTCTTTTCTTTCCTTTTCTTGGGTTTAGGGTTTACCATACCACTCCAATGGAAAGGAAAACCTTCTTCTTTCTCTCTCTACTAAGCAGTGTCTCTTTACTGCAACAACACACCACACCACACTCTTCTCTCTCTAACAAATATTTGTCTTGCCCATTTCTGCAAAACCAAGAAAAGATGAAAAGTCGAAGATTGGTATATTTTTCAAACGAACTACTGCTACTGTTGGCTCTTAAAGCAAAACAAAGTGCAAAAGCGCTGCTTTCTCTCTCTCACACACATAAACACAAACATTTGGATAGGGACCCAATAAAGAAAGAAAAAGGTTAACTAGGTGAAGAAAATGGTGGGAATCTTTTCTCGCTTTTCACTGTACAGGCAATCCCACCGTGCCACCTCTGTCCCCATGGTAAAATTCTCTCTTTCTGTTACAATTGCTAAATTCATTCATTAATTGTTTTTATTTTTACTTTTTATGTCCTTCTAGGATAATCTTAGTATGTCCTTTCTCTACATGGGTTTTTCATGTGAGAGTGATTTTGTAAGACCCTTCATACCCTCTCTCTGATTTTACTATACATCTATATGGAAATCTGAATTGTTGGTTTTTGTGGAGGTATTCATAATTTTATTATATATGTTTACTTGCTTTTGTTAATATACTACTGAACTTTTTATAATTTAGGACAAAGAAAGCCTAATTCCAGTGATAGATGAAACCAGAGAGACAAGGCTGAGGGGCGGTATGGATGTTCACCAAAATGGGTTCCAAAGCGAAGTCGAATTTTGGCCAGTAGAGCACCCAATTGAGCCACTGGATGAAGACCGACCCGTCAAATGCCCAATGCCTGACTCTTCTATCATCAATGTAAGAAGATGTCATTTTTTTTGTTATTATAACTTTTGTTGAGTTTATATATATATATAGTCATTGTCACATTTAGTAGCTACTAACTGTAACTTCATATAATTTGCTGTTGGTAACCAAAGCTTTTCACTACATTCTAATTTCCCATTTCTCATGACTCCCATTGGCAATTTGTGTGTGTTTTTCTGTTCTTTTCTTTTCTTGTTGTTAATTTTGTTGCTGTTGGTTACGGGTCTAAAGGGATGACAAATTAGGGAAACAGATGGTGAGAATTATTGTTATTTGGTGAGGATTAGTTTAGTAATCTCAAGAACAAATTACAAAATAATCGATTGTTCACACATCTGAAAGCACAATGCAAGCTGAGGGGTTCAATGTTCACACATCTGATTAAGCTTCAGGGCAATGCTTCGTAAACCAGCTTCTAGCAAGATGGCATCTTAGTACTAAAAGACATGATTTCTAAGAGCATATTTGGAGCACACAATTTATGTATTTTCTTAAAACTGTTTTTACAATTACCGGAAACGGGATATAGCACTTTCGGACTGTCTGTTCTTTCCCATGAAGCAAAGAATAATTTGTTTAAAATACAGTATTCTGTTTAATAATTGTGGTTATTACGAAAAAAATTACTTCCCCATTCTTAAAGATGTTAGTAAAATTTTTAAATGAAGATATATTGCTCATTGCTCAGGTATGTATATCTTGAAAGCTTCGTTTTGCAGTTTCCAGAATCAATTTTTTGAGTAAGTATTTATATTGCAACCTTGGAGATGGATTTTTTTTTTTTACCATTCTGATGATATCCAATAAATTCAACTCTAAAAAGTAAGCTAGAAAAACTAAAAAGAAGAAAAATAAAATAAAATAAAACAAACCGAACTAAAGTACAAACCTACAAGTGCTAAGTTTAACGAACAATTTCATGCCTTCCTGACACACAATCATGGAGACACCTAGGTTGGTAATGCATCAGTAATCATCTTGTAAAAGTTTAGATTACATACATTTTCGTGGTTTAGATGGGGAATTCAGCAGGACCAGTAGAATGGTTACCGACTCTTCTGATGCTATTCTGTTTTTCAAACTAGGATGTAGCGGTGTCAGGAAATCTATCTTAGCTTCTTTACTGTGTAGAATTATATTCGACAGAAGTAATTCTCTTTCAAACATTGTACATACTATAGCATTTGATAGTCTAGCATGGCTTTAAAAGAAATTACCATCTTGTTAGAAATATTTATATGTACATGGATCGGATGACATCTTATACAGTAGATTGTAATTCATCCGTATGAACTGTTTGAAACAAATATGAAAGCTAAATATTTATATGTCCATGGATTGGATGACATCTTATACAGTAGATTGTAATACATCTGTATGACCTGTCTGAAACAAATATGAAAGCTAAATATTTATATGTTCATGGATCGGACGACGTCTTACAGAGTAGATTGTAATTCATGTGTATGAACTGTTTGAAACAAATATGAAAGCTAAATATTTATATGTTCATGGATCGGATGACATACAGTAGATTGTACTTCATGTGTATGAAACAAATAGGAAAGATAAATATTTTAAAACTTACAATACATTCAACCTTTTCATTAAAAGGATGGGCAAATACATGAGGAGCGGTTCCCAGAGAGCTTGAGGAAGAGAACAGAACAATCAGCAGTAGTGAACAAAGAAGGAATGATGGTGATGTCTAGGGAGCCTCCTGTTCGAGCAGTACGGAAGAGGCACCACACACTTACTCGCAGAGACCAGACAATAACCCCTTTATTGAGAATGCCACCTCTCCATCCTCTTCCAGCCCAGAATGTTACTATATTCCAAATGCTTCAGCACTTTGACAAGTTCCAATCCTGACAAGGTACAATAAATAAGATGATCTCTCATCTAGATGTAAGAGGGACTTCTTTGTAACTGTATTAGTATCTTCAGATTGTATTCTGTATATTTATCATCAAACCTTGTTGTAGCTCACTCATATCGTTTACATAATTATATCTAGTGATATTTTGTAAGAATATATTTCCTTATAGAGAATGTACTTGTTTGGGTTGTAGTAGTCATGCCATCTTCGGAAAAGATGCTTGAACCATAATCATAAAAAGTTATTGTGTTGAAGATCAATCTCCAATTAATTAGTTAGTTACATTTGGAAAAGACATGGTCACCTAAGCACGACTTGTAATGCTCGATTCATTGCTTGATCTTGTGATCTAATAGTCAAAATTTAATCTAGTTTCAAGCTGTCAACTGAATCAACCTGCATAAGTTCTCAACGTTTCAAAGGGGTCTCTGGCATTGAGACTGCTGAAGCCCTTGCTCTTCGAGAAGCTATTAATCTTGTATCCGGTTGGGTTTCTATGGAGGTAGATTTTGAGGGGTACTGTAAATCAGTGATGCAGTTGATCCCTAACTCTGATCATGCTGCTATTATCATTGAAGATGTGATTTCACTTTTGCAGCTAGTTGCCGATCTATTGTGTAAATGGGCTGTCAAAAACAAATCTTCGGATTTGGAGGGGATGTGTGGCCCTCTTGGTTGTTGTCAGCTATAGAAAGGGACCTTCTTTCTATTGTTAGTGTTCCTTTAATTCAGTCAGGGGGGAAAAAAAAAAGGTTAAGGCAGCTCAATTTTTACTTAAAGCATGCCATGTTTTTTTTTTTTTTTTTTTCGGTAGGATATGCATGATTTCCTGTTCAATGTTCCAGTACATACATATAGAGAAACCATTGCTTATACCATCTCACATGGTTTGTAGAAAAAGAATCTCCATTCAGTGTAATCAAATCTACTACACTTCTGAAAGATTGGCAGGATCAGACCCTGCATTGCCAACGGCATCATAAGGGCTATGTTGCTTTGAACTCCGAAGGAGCTTTAGAATTTGAAGTTGGAGTAGGAATCACTGATCATAATTGGATGGTTGAATTGCATTCAGCAATGTTCCTGGACATGTTAGTGATAAAGTTCTAGTTTGAGTCATGATTATAGAAGAATCTTGAAACCTGTAGGAGCAATAATAATCTGGTTAGAAAGATATAGGGATTGCACAAGACAAGTGATCTTCCTGTTATAAACTATGAAGTGCATCACTTTACTGCTCATTTGCCCTTTGTAATCTAATTTTTCATTCCGCTTTTCTTCCAAGTCTTCGTTTAGTTTTTGTCATAGTTCCTCAGGATTAGCTCATAGTTCTTCCCACTTTCAGCTTTTCTCATACTGTTCATACATTTCTGCGCGACTTTATATTGATCAGGGTTACTCTCACCCATAATTTTTTAGGCTACTTTTTTACTCAGCTGAGCTTTGGTTTATGACCCATTTTTCTATAGTCACATCTTCCTTTTCTTCGTTACTCCAATTAAAATTCTATAGTTCTGCTCTTTTTTCTCATGAAAATTATAGTAATTCAGAATCACCAACATAGATGAGATCTGGGTTTTCTTTTCCTCAACCAGTCATTTAGAAATGACATGCTTTCAACTACATTTGCAGGATCCATGTACATCATGTCCATCCATCGTCTTTAAGTACTTGATTGTGAAACTACTTCTATTATGTCATAAAGTCCTTCCAAGCTGGGGTCAAACTTAAATACTCATGCAATTAGATTAGTTTGGCTCTGGTAGTCTCTCTAGCACTCAGGTATTCAACTCCGAAACATCTGGCTTTTGTTTAATTTGGCACATGCTCCTGATATTCAAGCCAAATAGGCCTTACTATTGTCTCCTACTGGTTTTCTTCTCTCTGATCATGTATTCTATATATTAATATTATATCAGATAAAGTAAGACGGGAAGGTTATACCATTGGGCTAGAGACCCTTTGAGGTATCCTACTTTTAATGACCATTCCAGCAAATCTCAACCCAAAAAACAAGTTAAGGGCATGTTTTTTAGGCCAAACCAATTGATGTCGATCTCCCACAACAGCTAAGTTACTCCCCACACATCCTCCTCCAATTTTTATAGCGTCTTACTTGTTGCTTCAATTTGTCACATTTTTTTCATCAGCATTGTTCAATAACTTCCTGAAGTCATTTTTAGGAACAATGAGAGAGACAGAGAGAGAGAGAGAGACACGTCCATGGCTTGTAAGGAAACAAGCTCAAAAGAAACAAAAAAAAAAATTAAAAAATAAAAATAAAACCAAGAAACTAACCAACCAGGGCAAAACCTAGTTTAAAATGAAAAGCAGAAGTCATCAAAACATGGAGTGCGAATCTGATACAGATAAGGCCATGGCTTGACATCCCTCAAGGCAAAGCATCAAAAGCAATCTGAGGTGCAGGAAACTTGGATCCAAAAAAACAACATTACCAAGTGCTTGCAGAACCTTATTTAATTCGCCGAAAATGTAAATAGACTGTCTAGCAATCATGACCGCATCATAATATATCATTTCTCTTTCTTTTTTATCTTCCCATTTTTAGGTCCTAGATGCCATCTGGATTCAGAAAAGCAACAAAATTTGGCAAGGACACAAAAATCAAATGAGATTGATCCTTATACGTACAGAATTGATATGATTATACATTCTCAAACATCAGTTTCATTCAACAAGGGAAATACAAAGTGCAACAGCCATGCCCAATATCAGTGAGGTTAACTGGATTCCTGTACTTTTCAAAGCTGAGCTACCATTGTTCGTTTCTGCCAGCACTCCAGCAACTGCAACGTAGATAAAACCACCCGCGGTGAATCCCTGCAAAAATGAACACAAACAGATTAAGGAAGCGTTCAAAATCACATCATCCAAATAAATGCAACTAAAGCATTCCTCAAACACAAACTTTTACCTCAATCAAAGCTGAGTATCCTGGATCATGTCCCAACAACAAAGCCTGTAGGGAAACATAATTAAGATTCTTTTACTTCTTTTTACATTATTTGAGATTAAAAATATCAATAGTTTGTTATATGGGACACTACTAACCAATCCAGTTCCTGCAAGTGCCACCAGGGCTGAGAGAAAGTTGAAGAAGAGGGCTTTGGAGACACTAAAACCAGACCTTACCAAAATTCCAAAATCACCTATCTGCACAAATGGTCCAAACCAAGATAAACCCAAAAGGGGAAAATATTTGAAATGTTGTATTTCTATTATTATTATTATTATTACTATATACAATTATATTAATTAATAGCAACATAATGAGACAAAATATTTAATTTATCTACTTGAATTGCCATGTTTAGATGAATTGTAAAACTTGAATATTGCAGCCTAATAAATTTCATATGCTAATGTACGTTATGTACACACTACTACTCCCATACGGCATTAATTCTTCTCAAAAAGGGGAAATGGCGGATGGGGTAATGGACATGATTAAGGCATGTTCAACACGATTTAGGGGTCATATCAAACAAGGATGTCTCTTCACAAGATACGTGACATGATTTTCTTGAACAATAAAATTATTATCCAACAAATTAAACTTTAAAATAGTTGGTTGTTAACATATAACAGAGTAGGCAAGCACCTGGACTCAAATCTCACCACCATTCTAATAACTATAATTGATGCACCAATAAAGCAAAATTATGATGGAGATCTGCCTGCACATGAAATGCGGCACCTTAAAGTAGAACAATATTAAAGTTACACCCTCTCTTTCTTTCTTTTTTTGATAAATAAATAATTCATTAAAAAAAGCGTTCAAGAGGGGAACGCATCCCTAACAAATCAAATAAACCTGTGAACCGTAAGGCCCCAAGGAAGCCAAAAACTCAATAGTCTCCTCAGCAAAAGAACAGACTCTACCCGAACCCCAAAAACAAAGAGAGCTAATAACATAAGATTTCAGAACAGTGATGGAAGATTCCTCCCCTTCAAAGGATCTTCTATTTCACTCCCTCCACAAACACCACTAAAGACATAAAGGCGCCATCCTCCAGAACCCTCGAGCCTGTGCTCCCACCCAACCCCCTCTCCAGGTGTCCATCAGGCCTCTTGTAGATCTAGGCATGACCCAAGAAACTCCAAACAAACGTAGTAAAAGGTTCCAACAATCAACCGCCACTGGACAATGCAAGAGAAGATAATCCACCGACTCGCCATTGCACTTACACATGCAACACCAATTCACCGTGATAAGCTTTCTCCTTCTCAAATTATCCAATGTCAAAATTTTACCCAACAACCGTCCAAGCCAAAAAGGCCACTTTCAATGGCGCCTTAGTACGCCACACAGCCTTCCACGGGAATACCACCCCATCCAAGTCCACCAGGCATCCAAAAAAAGATCTCACACTAAACATTCATTCCCCTAGCAGATGAAATCCAAACAAGAGAATCCCTACCTCCTCCCCGAATCACCTGACCATACAACAACTCTAAAAAACCAAACACATCATCCATCTCCCAATCCTGAAAAGATCGCTGAAACAGCGTATCCCAAACCGGTCTCCCACTATCAAGACAATCGCAGTAAGCCACCAAGGCATGCCTATCCACCGCAATCCAAACAGTCTAGGGAAAGAACACGCTAACGTGCGATCTCCACACCACATATCCTCCCAAAACCGAAGATTCTGTAGGAGTCGATTGCTACGAATTCTTATTGCTCCTTTTCTCCATTCAACTTTTTTGGTGCACCCAAGGGTACTAGCCTTCTTATTATTGAAACTGTTTATATTATCTAATATTCGTATTACATTTTCAACAATTAAATAAAATTTTCACTTGAAGTTGAAGTAATAATGTTAATAATGTAACATAAGGAATTCGTCACCCCCATCCCCTAAAAAAAATGAAAAAGAAAAAGGAAAATGAAACATAAGGAACATAATAATACAGTTTAATGTACAATTGTATAATAGGTGTTAGGTGCACGTCTAACCATACGTGCAACCATATGTATTGGACCCATACCTGTGATTGCCATGTATTTCAATAAGTACTTCACACATTTTTTGGAGGTAGCCTAAAGCCCAAAAGGATGAAAAAACCAAAGGGATATATCCTATGGTCGTGTTTGCCTATGTGATTTATCATTTTTGTCCCTGTTTTTTCGCAACTCCCAAGTGAAAACCTGAAATAGACAAATCCTTTCAATCTAAAATCTTCTAATATCAAACAAGAACCTTCACCTCGAACTTAAGAGACGAAAGACGTGAAGTCGCCTTTAATGGCTTACCCCTCATATCTCGAGCCAAATGCTGATTAGGAAATGACTTCCAGGGTGGCATCCATCGCATACCTTGACTGGTATAGGAGAGATGTCAGGGACATAATGCTCGAATAGACTCCGGCATACTGATTATAATTCACGAGTTATTCGAAGTATGCCAAAACTCAAAAGGTATTGATGTAAAATCCATCTTTTCCATTCTCTTATCCAAAATTCTTTTTAAGGATTGTGTTCCAAAAACAGTAATATATTATGCAGGACTTTTAATTCTTTTGGTGATAATATTATCTTTGGCAATCATCATCTTTTGGAACCGTTCTTGAACGACTATATTTCTATGGAAAAAATAGAACATCGTGTAGAAGTCTTTGCCAAGGATTTTCAGGTTATCCTATGGTTGTTCAAGGACCCTTTCATACATTATGTTAGGTATCAAGAAAAATCAATTCTGGCTGCAGAGGGTGATGAATGAATAGAAATATTACCTTGTAAATTTCTGGAAATCTCATTTTTACGTGTGATCTCAATCAGTAACGATCTATATAAACCAATTATCCAGTTATTCCCTCGACTTTCTGGGATATCTTTCAAATGTGCGCCCAAACCCCTCAATGGTATGAAGTCAAATGCTAAAAAATTCATTCCTAATAGATAATGCAATTAAGGAGTTTCATACCATAGTCCCATTATTTCTCTGAATGGATCATTAGCTAAACCGATATTTTGTAACGTATTAGAGAATCCAATTAGTAAGCCGGTATGGGCCGATTTATCAGATTCTGATATTATTAAGAAATCACAAACTTGTTCATATTATTAGATACACCACCTTTTCTTATTCTTATTTTCTTTTTATAAATACATACCCACACACACACACACACACACATACATATGTATATATACATATCAGTGAGTTCCATATGCGAAATTTAGTGTTGCAGACAATCCACATATGTAAATAGGAAAATGACGACAATTTGCATTTTTACCTTCCTTCATATTCTGTTTCATGGTAACAATGCATTTTAGGGAAAATATTGCTTGCTTCTCGTGGGGAATCTTATAATCAAGTCAGTGGAATAACCCACTTGCTCACATGTTATCTTGACAGAGATAACTGCATTCTTGCATCCTCTTAAAGCAAAGGTCAAGATTTGAAATTTCTATTAAGGAAAATGAAATTATTAAAAATATATTCATAATTGGGCAGTAGATACAGTCATAATAAACAAAGATAACTATTTGTTGCATGATCCCTTTCTAATCTATTAATTTAACCAATCAAGAAAATTTATTATTATGTCTAAATTGATTTAACTGTTCAAACTACTAAAATATCTCCATAAATAAAATAAAGGTATGAAAGGGAACCTCTTGAGGAAGCTCATGCGCAAGCAAAAATAGAGTCCTCGACCACCCACCGACAGATCCATAAAGGAGGAAAGCACTGCCCAAAGCCATGCCATCCGTAAAATTGTGCTGCAATTTACACAAGTTATATATGAATACACTAAAATTTAAAGTCAAACGTATCAAGTAAATTTGTATAATAATAAAATTTTCCTCAAAGACATAAATGCATAAGCTTCAATACAAATCCCGGAGAAACAAACTTTGCTTTCGAAAGTGAATAAAAAATTCAAAGCAAGGATCACATACTACACCATCAGAAAAGAGATTGAGATAACCAAAGACAAGATTTGACGGTGATCGAGCAGGTTCTTTATCATTTAAGGATTTAATATTTTTGGTGGAGCCAATTGCAGCATCTAAATTGGGCTCATCTTCATCAGCACCAGTGGCGACGTTTCGCTGCAAAAAACAATCATGTTAGATAGGATCCAATAACACAGAAATTGGAGGAAGATGAATTTTCCAATGACTATAAAAAAATAATAATAATAATAAATAAAAATAAAAAAAATTAAATTGGTTGTTTAGTATGACTTGTTATTGAAAAGGCATCTTCCCTTTTTCCCGCAAACCACTGATTTGTTATCTTATAGGAACTTCCAACTAAATCAGGAAAAAGATCCAGAAAAATACGGAAAACAAACACTCCAACTTGGCTTGTCTGAAACATATTGAAAGGGTACAAGAAAAAATAGGTAATGAACCAATTGCCCTAGAAAGTATATGATGAGGCAACCTTACATAGATCATATTGATTATTTACTTGCACTAGAATGTGATAAGTTAGTTCTAAATGTAAAGCCAATTATTATATAATTCATACAAGTCAATATACAGAACTCTTGATTTATAAAAAATAAAAATAAAGGAAAAAAAAATCAAACCAAAGATAAAATAAGAAGATTTTATTCAGGAAAAATAAAAAAAAAAATAAGAAGATTTTTTTTTTGGTTGGTCAAACTTTAATTTTGTAGAAGATAGGCATACCATGTTTTGGTGATAAGTTTAGTTTTATAGAAGATAGACAAGCCATGTTTTAGATCACCAAAGCAGGTTCTCGGTTCACTGGGATACTACTTTGAATGAAAAGTAAGAGTCTTTTTTGCACATGGCATACGATAATATATATAAACATTACATGTGTTTGTGGCTAGGCTTGAGCTTTTCTAGACATGGTCTAAGCTAAAAATCTAGGCCGAACTGTTTGGCCTTAAGCATGGGTTCAACTTTCAGAAAGGGCTTGTCCAGCAGTAGTTCCGGGTGGATCTCAGCATAACGCAAAATCTAGAAGTAATCTAGAACTTACCTTCCTAAGAGATTCAGGCTGACTTCGTTTACGTCCAGATAAACATTCATCAGACACTCCATTCAACACTTCTCCTTCGGATGGAATTTCGGTTATACTTCCATTTTTTTCATCAACAGACTGCTGCTGAGCATTACCATGAGCATCATTGTCATCCTTTAACTTTTTATTGTTTTCCTGATGATGATTGTGATGGTGATGGTGATGGCTATGACTCCATTCATTAGCTCCTCCAGACATTTCATCAACATACCTCACAACCTTTTCTACAAGAAGAAAGAGTACAATTCCAGCTGCAACAGAAAATATGACACAAAAAGAATTTAAGCTGTTGTAATACAATTTGCAAAGCACCTGATTGAAACTAGAGCACTAAACCAGACAAACAAAACCTAAAACATCAGGAAGCCGAAAGTGAATGAAAAGTTTATCAATATGAAGTTAATGATGAAATTATAACATGGCAATTAAATAAGTCAAAGAACAACACCTTGACTCCGATTTAGCAATATTCTTTTTTCCCCAGTGGAATGTAGCAGAGTTATTTCAGACAATATGCAGGACCAATGATTTGTCTCAACCCAAGGTTTTTAATGTTCCTTATTCTGAACCACATCAGAGTCTTTAATATTGCCAAATTTGATAAAGATCCTTAGTTCCTTTGTATATACTGTATTTAATGTTCCTTTGTTTACATATTGCCATATTGGTGATAAAGATCCTTAGTTCTTCAGAAAAGGTGCAAAATTTTGACTTTTATGATCTTGACCATGATATATAAAAAGTTATTCTAACACAGTAGTATGCCACCGAATGGAGCATTTTGGAAGGTTCTGAAAATGGGAATCTATGAGGTTCTAACATGCTGCTAGGGCTGCAAATGAACCGAGCTGTTCATGAACAGCTTGGGCTCGGCTCATTAAAAGCTCGGTTTGGACTCGTTCGTTTAGTAAATGAGCCGAGCCCGAGCTCAATTTTCAGGCTCGTTTAATAAACGAGCCGAGCTTGAGCAACCTTGAGCTTGGCTCATTGGGCTCGTGAACAAGCTCGTTAAGTAAAAGGGCAATTTTGTAATATCATTCCACGTTTAAAACGTTGAGCCCATATTCAGTATTTAAGATGTTTATAGCCCATACAAGTTTGGTCCACTTCTAACCATCCCATTAATAAGGCCTAAAGACTTGCAATTAAATAGCTCAGGCTCAAAGACTTGTAATTAAATAGCCCATCATCTAAATCAGATTGAATCACATCCGTTAATATAATATAATTCATCCCAGCCACTGATTTGATAAGTTAAAAAGAGATAAAAGAATAACCCTAGAAGCACAAGTCTACGGTGGCACATCCTCTTCACTTCCGAAAGATCTTGCCAGCAGTCCCCATCATGCGAACACAGAGCTCATCTCTCTCTAAAGGATCTCAAGGTCGACCGGTTAGAGTAGTGCAACAATACTGTAGATCAAGGATAAAACTTAAGAAGGTTTGATTTCATTTTAAATTTTGTTCAGTTTTTCTATTTTTTCTTTCTTGGAGTGCGATTTCTTTCTTGTTGGAGATGGAAATAAAGATTTCATCAATTCAATGTTTGATTTCTTTCTGACCGGAGATGGAAATTGGATTTCTTGGAAGAGGTAACGGCGATCTCTTGAATCAATGATTGTTTGGTATGCTACCGATCCCGAGCCCGAGCCCAAGCTTTTCGAATTTCTAATGAGCCGAGCCCGAGCTTAGTTAGGATAAGCTCGGCCAAGCCCGAGCACCTCTCTGAAGATAACGAGCCGAGCCCAAGCAACCCAAAGCTTGGCTCGGTTCATTTGCAGCCCTACATGTTGCATACAACATGCTATATGTTTGAATTTATTCATGTAATGTTCTTTTGCCTGTTCTCTTTCAGCCTCTTGTAACATAGAGTTTTATACTGCATAAAGCATTCAACAACTCCACTCCAAGCCTTCAAATACATATACAGATTGACATTACATTGGAACAACAAGAAACACACATTACAACAATGAAATGCTGACACGCATAAATTAATGTTCTTTTTGCAGCAAATAGAATAGACTAGTAAATGATACAAAAATTAAATACATGCAAACACATTGTCAGTGATGAAGCCAAAGATTTACTTTGGCCGGTGGGGGTTGGTGTGTGTGTGTGTGTTGGGGAGGGGGGGATACTGAACATGATAGAATAAATTTTTTTTTTCTTCTTCCAACTAACATAACGGCTAGCAAAAGATAGGAAGGCAAAAAATAGAAGCCAGTAATGGTGCAGTAATCAAGGTTTAGATATTTCATTATTCGTAAATAATTGCAATAAAAAAATCAGAAACAAAAAATACGGACACTAATTTCATAAAATTGCAGTAATAAATTAAAGAAAAGGAGGAAAATAATAATAATAAGAGAGGAAAAAGGTTACTACACATACATCATGCAAGAAGAAGAAATTTTAAGAGGAAAGAAGAAAGAGAGGGGGGGAGGGGGGGGTTATGGTCTAATTGCACAAGGAAAATGCAAAATATTTTGAAGGGATCAAAGAAATTTGGAGGAGAAGAAGGAAAAGAGAGAAGAAAACGAAAAATTATAGAGATGTTTAGAAAGGGGGACATTTTGTAAGATTTTACAAAGTTTCATAAACACAAGTAAATAGAAAAAATTAGGGTCCAGCTGTGGGGGCAGAGCCTAATGTGGCTCTGTCATTGTATATAGTTCTAACAAACTACAAGAAGAAAAAATAGAGGAAAAAAAGAATTGATGCTAAACATCATCATCAACTTCACCGTTAGAAATCCTGGGTCTATTATTTATTCAATTGACATTACAAGATTTTCCTAGTAAAAGATAAATCAATGGAAACAAGTTCAGCTCTTTCAATGTGTTCTATCAGACTATCACCAATGTTTTGTACCATTATTGCAAATTAATATAATTCAGGCATTGTTATTCATCGTTTAGTCATGCAACGTACTAAGTTTTCTGCCAAGATGGCAAGATGTGACATGATACAACAAGTTACGACATTCGAGAGAACTTATTGACAACATTACTACAAACCTATATGGCCAATGCTAATAAATTTAAGTCCATACTTAAAGTACATTACTAAAAGTTTTATACATCTTTACCGCATTATCATTTCCCGGTGCATCACCTCTGATACATCTTAATTGTTTTATATTGAAGGCACCCGAGAAATGAGAATTTGAACCACATGCAGAACCAAGAACACCAATTTCAATTCATAATTCTAAAATTTGTATTAACATCAGAAAAGGACCTTGTAACCTTAAACTTAGGCTATGACTCACTGCAGACCCAACAGCATGAAATATACACTAAAATCCCACAAAAGTAAATGTTGAAGGATGTCTAGCGCTGGCTCTAGCACAGAAAGCAGTTCCTCCAAGAACTAGCAGTTCATAGCTATATGAAAACTTATTTTATAATTCTAAGAGCCTTCTCTCATCAATATCAATTTACCATTAACACAAAATTATTGATTTGAAACCTCAAAACGAGCTTGCACTCGGTTCATTCTATTGAGGCCTTAGGTTGATTGAAACATGCTTATTGAATATTGGTTCATCAATTTGCTAAACAATTTTTAGCCATGCATTATTCTACAAACATCAGATTTTTCAGTATGGGAACACAAATTTCTCTGCACATTAATACAGATACAATGATTAGAAAAAGGGCTATATAGTATATCTACAAGAAATCAAATGGGTAGGTCCAAAAGATAGACAAATTGAGAACACGGGATATAAACTTTACTACGCCAGAAAAGATAGACAGAGAAATGGAGTATGGATAATCATTAATAAGAATTACAAGAAGATGACGTAACTATTATTCAAAAAGAGGATAGGAAAATATTAGTAATACTTGTATTAAGAGAAAATATAGTTAGCATTTATGCACCACAAGCAGGACTAGATGAAACACATTTAAAGGGCTTTCAATTAAGACAGAAAGCTAAAGTGTTGCAGAATCAATTTAGATTCATGCCAGGGAGCTCAACAATGAAGGCTATTACTTTTTTTTTGATAAGTAAGAATTTTATAAAAAAGCGCTCAAAGGAGAGCGAAACCCAAGGATACAAGAAGAAAAAACCAAAAAGGCCTCAAGCCTTCAAAGAGGCCAAAAACATAACAATCTCCTCAACAGAACAATAATCTCTCCCTGAGACCCAACAAAAGAGAGTAGAAATAATAGAAAACTTAAGTATAGAAATGGGTTTCTCCTTGCCATCGAAGTATCTTCGATTCCTCTCGAGCCAAATGCACCACCAAACACAGAGAGGGATAGCCCTCCAAGCATCCCGGATGAGCGCCCCAACAGAGACACCTCTCCAAGCCTCAATCAACCCTCTAGAGGAACAGGGCATAACCCAGGGAACCCCAAACAACCCAATCATCAAATCCCAACAATCTCTGGCCATACTGCAATGCAACAGAAGGTGATCCACTGTCTCCTCATCACAACGACACAAGTAACAGTGATTGATAACCACCTGCATTCTCCTCCTCAAATTATCCTGGGTTAAAATCCTACCCAAGACAGACGTCCAAGCAAAAAAGGCCACCTTAAGGGGAGCCTTGGAACGCCAAATAGCCTTCCAAGGGAAAGTGCCACCCTCCCAATCAGAAAGGCACCTGAAAAAGGATCTCACCTCGAAACGACCCTGAGAGTGTGGACTCCAAAGCCAACAATCAGCCTCCTCATGAGAGATCACCTGACGATACAGTAACTCCAAAAAACAAGTGACCTCCTCAATTTTCCAATCCTGAAAATGCCTCCTAAACTGAACGTCCCAAGTTAGTCTTCCGTTATCAAGGTGATAACAGTCAACCACCAAGGCCTGCCTGTCAGAAGCAATCCTGTAAAGCCGAGGGAAAGAAAGAGCAAGGGGAAGATCCCCACACCAAAGGTCCTCCCAAAATCTGATCCTCCTACCATCCCTGATCCTAAAGCGAACATGATTACGAAAAACGTCCCATCCCTTTCGAATGCAAGTCCAAACCCCCACACCCCTAGGACCACGCCCCTCAAGAGAACACCACCCACCACTGATTTCCCCAAACTTGCTGGCAATAACTTTCCTCCAAAGCCAAAGTCTCTCAACCCCAAATCTCCAAAGCCATTTCCCAAGAAGAGCCCTATTGAAAGGCAACAACCTTCGAATCCCTAATCCTCCACTCCGAAGGGGACGACACACTTGCTCCCAACGAACCAGATGATATTTGAACTCCTCTCCTCTCCCACCCCAAAGAAAATTCCGCTGCAAACTCTCAATTCTCTCCGCCACCGAAGAAGGAATCTGAAAAAGGGAGATAAAATAGGTGGGAAGGCAAGAGAGAGTGCTCTTGATTAGAGTGACCCGCCCCCCTTTGGAAAGGTACTGCTTCTTCCAACCTGCCAGTCTCTTCTCAAATCTATCCACCACCGGATCCCAACTCCCCACACATCTCGAAGGAGCACCCAGAGGCAAACCTAAATAAGAAATAGGAAATGAGCCAGTGCCACATCCGAGGATCTGAGCAAACTTCTCAATATCAGGAACATCCCCGACCGGCACTAAAACACTCTTTCCAACATTCACTTTAAGCCCAGAGACGACTTGGAACCAAATCAAAACACATCTCAAATGTCTCAGCTGGGACGCATCAGCATCACAAAGAACCAAGGTATCATCAGCAAACATCAAGTGAGAAATCTCTAACTGACTAGCGACATCTCTACCCACCCGAAAGCCTCTCAACAATCCCAGAACAACAGCCTTTTTCAACAACCTACTAAGAGCCTCTATTACAAAAAGAAAAAGGAAAGGAGAAAGCGGATCCCCCTGTCTCAAGCCCCTCGAACTAGAGAAAAACCTTGTCGGAGCTCATTCACAAGGACAGAAAAACGCGCACTAGAGATACAAAACAGAATCCATCACCTCCAACGCTCCCCAAAACCCATCCTCTCCATCAAGTAGGTGAGGAAACTCCAACACACATGGTCGTAAGCCTTCTCAATGTCCAACTTACACAAAACACCCGGAACCTCACTACTCAGCCTGGAGTCCACACATTCACTAGCAATAAGAACCGAATCCAAAATCTAACGACCTCCCACAAAAGCATTTTGAGAATCAGAAATGACGCCATCCAGAACCTTCCTCAGCCTAGTGGCTAAGACTTTGGCAAGTATCTTGTAAAAACAACCCACCAAACAAATAGGACGAAAATCCCTAACATCCAGCGCTCCTCCCTTTTTCGGAACAAGGGCAATGAAAGTGGCATTCAAGCTCTTTTCAAAAGAGCCATGAGCATGGAAAGCATGAAAAGAGCCCATCACATCATCTCGGACCACTTCCCAACACTCCAAAAGAAATGGTAAAGAAAAGTCATCTGGACCTGGGGCTTTATCCCCATTACAGTTCTTCAAAGCAGACAAAACTTCCTCTTCAGAGAAAGGGACCTCCAAAAGAGAACAATCCTCATCCGAAATAGAGTCAAAATGAAGCCCAGCAAGTAAAGGTCTCCACTCAACCGGTTCAGAGAACAAAACTGAAAAGTAATCAGCAAAACTCTTACAAATCTCATCTTCCTTGCAAAACATCTCCCCTTCCACCCGAATCCTCCCGATATGATTGCCTCGTTTGTGAGCATTAGCAAGTCTGAAAAAATTTCGTGTTGTTGTCACCTTCCTTGAGCCACAAAGCTCTAGACTTTTGCCTCCAAGAAATTTCCTCCATGACCGCAATCTCAGCAAACTCCGCCTGACACTCCACCCTCCTAAGCTTCAAGGAATCTGACAAAGATCCTTGACCCTCCAATCTATCAATGTCTGCAATCTCAGAAAAAACCCGATTCTCCCTCCACGCAAGATTACCGAAAATCTCTTTGTTCCAGACTTTGAGGTCACTTTTCAAAAACCGCAGCTTACCTGCAAAGGAATGACTAGGGGTGCCAGCAACAACATACCCCACCCACCAAGATCGGACACGATCCAAAAAACCTTCAGCCCGAAGCCACATATTCTCAAACCTGAAAGGGGATCTTCTACTGCGCAACCCACCACAGTCCAACATCAAAGGAACATGGTCAGACAAAGGACGAGCTAAAGTGGTCTGGATAACATCCGAAAAGTGCTCCTCCCAATCACTCGACACCAGGAATCTGTCAAGTCTAGAGAAGATAGGGGGAGAACGACCACTCGACCAAGTGAAGGGCCCACCCACCAAAGGCAGATCAATCAAACCAAAAACATCAATAAACTCTGAGAAAGCCTCCATCTCGACCGTCCACCTACCACCTGACGATCTCTCAAACGGGAAACGAACAACATTGAAATCCCCACCAATACACCAAGGCAAAGACCATCTCCTATGAACCTCTCCCAGCTCCGCCCAAAGCAAATGACGCACACAATCCTCAGTAGGGCCATAAATACCAGAAAAAATCCAACGAAAATCATCCTCCAACACAGAGAAAATGCAGGAAGCAGAGAAACGCCCAACCTGAGAATCCATCATAGAGACCCACCGATTATCCCACATCATAAGAACACCACCAGCAGAATCAATAGCATCCAGAGCAAACCACTCCACAAATCTACCTCCCCATAAACTACGCACCAACAAATCCGTCATCGTCTCAAATCCGTCATTGTTTTAATGGATGAAACTATAAAAGAAATTTGTAACAAATCAGAGGTTTGTCGGGAAGCTCTAGAAATTTTTTTTTTTTTTTTGATAAGTAAATGGGAAGCTCTAGATTTAAAAAGGTTTAACAAAAGTATAAACAAAATTGAGTATAAGGAGTGCAAATTTAGTAAATCTAAAAATACACATGGGGATACAATGAAGATTGAAGACCTTGAAGTACAAAAAAGTGAACATTTTCGTTATTTAGGCTCAGTTATCTGTAACGTAAGAGAAATTGGAGATGATGTTAATCATGGAATCAAGACAGGATGGATTAAATGGAGTGCATCTAGTATATTGTGTGATTGCAATCCCTAGGGATGGCAACGGGGTGGGTTTGGGCGGGGTAGGGTTCCCCCGCCCCCCGTTAACGAATCCCCGCCCTGTCCCTGCCCAAAGCCGCCCCTCCACTCACCCCGTCCCCGCCCCCGTTTAATTCCCCCACCCTGTTTTTCCCATATTATCATGCAATGTTATGCTCCTCATTTATCCCCACTTGTTACTAAAAAGGGAAATAAAAAAGAAGGAACAAGCACATAACAAATAAAGCCAGATTGAAAGAAAATTTGAAATACAGTGATTTGAAGCAAATGAACAGCACACAATAAATAAACCCAGACAATGTCTTATACAGTGACTTGAAGCAAATGGCTCAAATGAACAACACACAACAAATAAATCCAGACAATGTCTTATACAGTGACTTGAAGCAAATGGCTCAAATGAACAACACACAACAAATAAACCCAAACAATGTCTTATTCAGTGATTTGAAGCAGATGGGTGTTAAGATTAAAAAAGAAAAAGAAACCCTAATTTTAAGGCCAAAACATGACATTCAGATTGAAAGAAAAATTGAAACCCACTCATTTCTATTTCTTTATTATTTGTGTCGTTGTGGCCAAATAACTCATCAAAAATTGAAAGTGGGGTGAAGAGATTTGGGAGTAGAATAATAGGATTTGAAGAATGAACTGATCTTTGATTGCATGTTTTGAATCAATTGTCGGTCTTATTGAGATGTAGAGTTGAGTTCAAAATGAAAGAAAGAAACCTTGATTCTAAGTGAATAGAGATAGAGAGAGTACAAAGAAGAGGAGAAAATAACTGACCAGAGAGATGCACTTGGGGACTGGGGTGGTGAGCTGGTGACGGTGAGGCTGACGGAGAGATGTGATTGGTGGCCGGCAACAGAAAGCTGAGGGAGACGGATAGGCTATGGGACTGGCTACCTCTCTAAGGGTACGACTGATTTAAGTAAGTAAAAGAGACAAATTTGTTTTTAGGGCACATATATATGTGGTAAAATAATAAATTTCAAATATAAACAGGGTGGAGTGACTTTCCCCATCCCCGCCCCGCACCCGCCCAGGTTTTTACTCCTAAAACCCGTCCTTGCCCAAATCCCTTAAACGGTCCACCAAAACTGGTTTAAACAAGGCGGGGGCAGGGCAAATTGCCATCCCCACATATCCCATTAAAATTGAAAGAGATGAACTGTAAAGCAGCTATTAGACTGGTTATACTCTTTGAGACAGAATATTGGGCAGTTAGGAAACAACAAATGCATAAAGTGAGAGTGGCAGAAATGCGAATGTTAGAGATGAATGAGCAAAAAAATAAGAAAGGATGGAATTAGAAAAGAAACACATTCTTGAGATGATTGAAATAGCATCAAATGGAAATAAAATGAGAGAAATTTGATTATGATAGTTTGAACACTTGCACAACAAGCAATTCAGTGAGCCAGTTAGGAATAGTGACATAGTCCCCATTGACGGTATTGCTAGGGGAAAGGAAAGACCAAAGTTAACGCGAGTAGAGTTAGTAAGAAAGTATATGATAACATGTAATTTGACTGAGGCAATGGCCTTAAATAGAGTGGAATGAAAAAAAAATTGGATTCAAATAGGCAATCTTAAGTAGTCAGGAGAAGGGTTTTGTTTGTTGTTATTATTGTTGTATTACTAAAGTTATAAGAGAAGATACAAAAAATTAATGCATGCTTTACATTGCAAATCTAAATTATGACAGGAAAAAAAAAAAAAAAAAAAAAAAAAAAAAAAAAAAAACATTTCGTTGAGATTGATAAGCAAATCTTGCTCACATATTTTTGACTTACCCAAAATGGACAATCCTACGGAAAGATCTTTTAAAGAATGTGAATGCTGGTGTCCAAAATCAACATGATCATGAGCATGTTCATTGTGATCGTGAGAATGGGAATGTTCACCTCCTGCAAAGCAATACCACCAAAATGAGAAAGGTAGCGGAGCCAACTAGTGCTGCAAGCAGAAGAATGATATCCTTTCATATCAATGATACATTACCAAAGGCATGTGGCAATTGGTGAAGAAAAGCATCCCCTAACATTGCTCCTGCCTGCAAGTGGCAAACTAATAGGAGGTCAAAGGAGCAATTAGAAAAAGAATTTAAATAGGCAGAACCCTAGGGCAAATAAAAGTCAACAAAATTTGAAAATTAGAACATCAATGACCATAAGATCTATGGAACAGAAAAATGCCCAATATCAGTTTGTAATAAAATAATATATTGTGCAAGAGACAACTTGAAAATCCATTACACTGTCCCCCCTCAATTAACAGAACTTTCTTGATGAGTAGAAAGCCTCATTCCCAACAGCAATTAAAAATATATCACACATTCAATAACTTAAATTTAAGTACAGTTTCCAAGAAAATCTAGAACTTAATTGGTAGAATATTATATGAGAATTTATTTAAAAGATTGAATGAAAATCAATTTCTAAAATGGAGATATAGAATCCCAACCACATTTTTTTAAGTACGGAACCCAAATATACTATATATATATATATACACACACACATTCTTCTACCAAGCATACTATGCTGATTAGAAGATGAGTACAATCAATATTGCTGACAGCATATATAGGGAATATTCATATAGACCCAATAATGATGATAAATAAACAAGAACTTTCCAACCCTGGAGAAATTCAAAACCGAACAAAAAAAGTTGGCATCTCTTCCACAGGATACTCATTTCACAACCAGTTCAGTTTGGTTATGTTCAAGTGTCAATTAATAACTCAAGTAAAATGAATAAACTACTGGAGCAGAATTGGCTTCTGTTCAGGAGAATATCAATGGGGGGGATAAAGGCAGCTGAAAAACATATTGCTTTAATTGAAACAATTTGTTTATGTGGGACCAAAAGTGGGTAACTACCTTTTCACCATTGGTATTTTATCTGTGGCAAAAATTATCCAAACTATTTTTGTAAAATCAACAATCTAACACCTCCCTCACTCCATTACTTTGCACTGAATACTGGCCAATTCCTGTATCTATCACCCAAAATGTACACATGCATATGAAGTGCAGGTTGAATAACAGTTCAATACCAAACTTCTAGTAGAAAACAATGTTTTGAATAAGTCATCACAAGAACTTGGCAAGACCTTGATAAATTGCATCATACATTGATGATATGATACACATTACATATAAATGTATAATATGGTTAAGTATAGTTTCTTTTTCTTTTTTTCTTTTTTCTTTATTCTTTTATTTTTTCCCCTTTTTGCGTGTGTAAATAACATTGGACACCCCAAAATTTCAAATGTAGCATTACTCATTTAGTATTCAAATTTTATCAAGGACAAAAAAGTAACAAATACATTAGTGAAGTACCAAGATAATTACAATTTACAAAAGTAAGGAAATGACAAATCACAATGTTTTATAATCGTGAGATGATTCATGCAAATTCATATAGTTTAATGATTAGCATCAACAGCAATTCTGATGAAACAACTGATACATAAAATTTATGTATTCAATAGACATTAACGGCCTAAAATCTACAACTGCAAGAAGCAATTCGGATTCATTAAGAAAAAGGGGAAAAAATGTTTGAAGAATCTGACCCCAAATAAGGCCAACGAATCAACAACTGCATTTGATGGTTTTCCGTGTACTGCAACAAATAATAGAACATCAGTTTTTCAGGCACTGGACCGCAAATAAAGGGCAATGAAAACTTTAACAAAAGCACTTGCTTCAATAACAAATGCATGAACATGAAATGACAATAAAGCTACTTACTAAATATTACAGGCAAAATAATCAGACAAACTAGGGAAGCCATGCTCACCAACAGCGAGCAGCCAATCGCATTAATCCAAAGACCTGTTGAGTGTGACAATAAAAAAGGGTTGAATTAGAATGTCAAACTCGCATACCCAAACTATTTAATCCGAAGAAATTCTTTATTCTTTTTCATCTGTTGCTTGTTATCCCAAAAATATGAGTAATTAAACAGTTACAAAAACAGAAGCTACTGGATACTGCATATAAATCGTCCCTAATCAGAACAGGAAATGGTTACTTGAGATTCCACATTACCCAATACTTTAGCAACAGAATTTCAGAAAGAGAGTGGAAATTAACAGTTGATACCTAAAACACTAGCAACGACAGAGTAGAGCCTAATACAAATTTCAATAAAATTACCGAGACCAGAGAGGTCGGAAGCAGCATGATCGTCGTGGTGGTGCTCGTGATCTAGGTGGGACCCAAAGCCGTAGAGTTTGAGATCCTCTTCTTCGGCCAATTCCTCCGGAAGCTTCTTCGACCCAATAGTCCTCTCCTCATGGGAAAGATGATGATGGTCGTGATTGTGGAGATGGTCTCCATGATGATTACAGTGGTGATGATGAACATTTGTTTCATGGATCGCAGAATGGTGACCGTCGTGGCCAGAGCTCAGATTCAAAATGAACCCACACACAAGGCCTAATAAAAGGAAAAGTGAACAGATCTGGTTACTCGAAAACGCCATTTCTAGTGGACTGAATTTGAAACCCTAATTTTGGGTTGGGTTTGGTTACTACTGAAGTACTAGAACTAGGAAGGACGGCGTTTGCAAGTGCCTTCAATGGTGATGATGCAAACAATAGCTAGAAACAGTAGAATTATGCCGACGATGACTCCGAATGTCACTACATCCATTTTCGTCTTTTTTGTACCATTTTATACTTTCCTACTATCATTCCTCCTTTTTAGTGCCTTCCTTTAGCAGAGCAGAGGCGAGCATCATCATCAAATCTCAACTCAGGTGGCCCACCAGACCTTACATCCGAATACTTACCAACCAAAAAAAATGATACTCCGTAATTCCGCTCTCATGAAGTGGGAGCGGGTGTGGGGGCAACCAAAAAAATTATACAAAAATAGCAAAATTTAAATCAAAAATAGGAAATAATGTGCACCCCATTTAAAATAATTTAGTGAGTTATGTTATAGTTACCCAAAAAAACGAAAAAATTATTTATATATGAATTTAATGTTTGCTTTAACTCATTAAAACTCTAAATAAAAAACTTTTTATATGTTCAAGAATACACCTTCCATGAATACATATTTTTTTCCATATATTTAATCTCGATTAAATATTATGATTAAAAATCATTAAATTTGAGATTGGACTAAACAATTAGAAATGTATGAGACCAAAATGTTAACATTGTTGACCAGAAATTTCAACTTGAATCCAACACTTTAATTATTTAAAAAGTGTGTGTATATATATATATATATTAAGTATCATTGGACTAATATCTTGATGGTATAAATTTAGAATTAATGTGTTGGAAACAAATGTAATTGTGTGAAAAAACTCGGCAACACGTTACTATAATAATAGAGTTACTATAATAATAGAGGATCTGGCTCATTGACTTTACAATTAATTATTTAGATCCACTTGTAAAATTACAATGGTAACAAAATATGTCTCCATGTACTAAACCAATTCATTTAAGAAAATATTATTTGGCTATTTTTTTTTTTTTTCACATTTGGCTATATTCAACAGCATAAAATTAAAACTTTGAAATAAAAATTAGTAAAATTGAATAAAATTTTAAAATTGAAATTAATAGAATTGAAGAAAATTTTAAAATTACTGTAAGGTTAAATTATTTACTCCTTAATTTAGGTTAATTGATAAGTAATTAGTTTCATATTATTATATAATTAGTTACCTAATTTAGTTAGGTATTAATCTATAAATTGATTGTAATACTCATCGTGAATATATCGAATAAAGTTTTTTAATTCGCATATTCGTTTTCTGAATTTCAAGATGACGCATATTCGTTTTCTGAATTTCAAGATGATATCAGGGCCATCTTGAATCGTACCTTTGAATCTTTTGAATTTACCCTTGAAATTCATAGACCCATACACATATCCATACTCGTACACATACCCATACCCATACACAAACCCATACCCGCTGCTATTTCAGTCCACACCGAATCAGTTAGCGCTGAATCCGTCGCCGGATAAGTCGCCGTCGCCGAATAAGTAGCTGGAACTACAGCCCGCGCCATCGCCGGAACTGCAGTCCACGCCGGAAGTCCACGCTAGCCATCTCTGCCATCCGCCGCCGCGAGCTCTCCTTTCCCGAGTTCGCCGCTGCCGCTACTCCATAACCGCCGAGCTCTCTGAAGTCGCCGATCTGAACCGGATTTGGTCTCGCAGCGCTGATCTCTTGACGACCCACCACCGCTGCATCGCCGATCATCTTCCTCGACCGGAGCTCACAGCCGAGCTCTACCACCGGTTTTTTCCCGTTTTCCAAAGCCTTCTGATTTGTTTGGTTGTTTTTTGTTCTTCAGATATATATATATATATATACATATATATATATATTGTATTGTATTGTATTCAAAAAAAAAAAAAATCAAAACCCTCTGTTTGGCCATAGGTGTAATCCTATTCCAGTTCTGGATTAGTTCAAAACTAAACCAGTTTTTGTAACCTCATTTGAAAACTAGTTCTGTGATAAACCAGTTCACAAAAAAAAAAAAAAAAAAAAAAAAAAAAAAAAAAAAAAAATTGAATGGAAAAAATATTGAATCATTTTGAGCAGACAAATCTACCTACAAATGCACTTATTGCAATGAGACTGGTCATACCAAAAGTTGTTGTTTCAAACTTGTGAGATATCCGGCATGGTGGGATCATCAGCGTTGGAAGAAGAATTCAACAAAGACCTCCACTACAGCAATTGTCAAGACAACAGATACTGGTGGTAAGAATTTCAATATTTCTACACATGTTGCTAATAGTGCATGGATAATTGATTCTAATGCCATAGATCATATGACATTTGATTCTAGGCAAGTCTCACCTCTTAATTCATCCTCACACAAATTTGTTTCTACTGACAATGGGACTTCGAACCCAGTTATTGGGGACGGATCTTTAACACTCACTGATAATCTGCATTTAGATTCTGTTTTAGTTGTTCCATCTTTAGATTCTAATCTTTTATCAGTTTCCCAAATCACCACTGCTTTATCTTGTGTTGTCATTTTTTGGCCTGATTTTTGTGTGTTTAAGGACATCCAAACAAAGCAGACGATTGGTTGTGGTATTAGGCGCGGAAAACTGTATTACTTGGACTTGATGTCCAAAAGTTCCAACAAGCTACGACAAGCATTGACAGTGGATGGTTCTGAGTGGGAGAGAGAAAAATCTGAAATCTGGCTGTGGCATCGACGTCTGGGACATGCTTCATTTGGTTATTTGAAAAAATTATTTCCAAGTTTGTTTGCAAACCTTGATGCTTCTAGTTTCCGCTGTGATGTTTGTGAAGTAGCAAAGAGCCACCGTGTTTCATATCCATTGTGTTTGCATAAAAGTCCACTTCCTTTTATGCTTATACATTCTGATGTTTGGGGTCCGTCCAAAGTCACTACTTTAGGTGGTTCCCGTTGGTTTGTTACTTTTATTGATGACTGCACCAAGATGACCTGGTTGTGCTTGATGAAGTCCAAAGGTGAAGTGAACTTATTGTTTCAGAAGTTTCAAAAATGGTTGAAACTCAATACAATGCACATGTTCAAGTTCTCCGTAGTGACAATGGTGGAGAATATCAGAGTTTTACCCTTCAGCAGTATTTGGAAGCACGTGGAACTATTCATCAAACCACTTGTTCCAATACACCCCAGCAAAACGGGGTTGCAGAGCGAAAAAATCGACACTTGTTGGAGGTTGTTCGTGCTTCATTGATAGAAGCGCATATGCCATTATCGTACTGGGGAGAAGCACTTGCCTCTGCAGCATATCTTATCAATCGAGTACCTTCCAGTTCTATTGCCTTCCAGACTCCATTGCAAGCTCTCACTGACGCAGTTGTTGCCCCAACCATCCCAAATCTACCTCCTTATGTCTTTGGTTGTGTAGTTTTTGTACACCTCCATAAGCATCAACGCAACAAGCTAACTCCTCGAGCATTGCGATGTGTTTTTCTCGGATATGCTACTTATCAAAAGGGGTATCGCTGTTATCACCCTCCCACTCGACGAATGTTTATCACAATGGATGTTGTCTTTCATGAAGACTCGATGTATTTTTCCTCTGCGTCTCAACTTCAGGGGGAGTACCAGAACGAAATTCAGACTCTAGATTATGATTATCACATTTTTAAGGACGGCGATTCTAATGTTAATGACTCACAAGGCAGACCAACCAATCAGGAATCAGGCGAATTGGATTCGCGTAGTATAAGTTTGGATCAAAGTGGTGATGAACGCCCAGAAATGGAAAGTATGGCACCAACCTCATCGTCGTCCGAGTTCGAGTCCCTCGCAACTGATATATCAAACCAATCACCTGCTGAGGATGTTCCTGATTTAGTGTCTGAGCCACTCAGAAAACAATTACCACCGCGTCACACTAGAGGTATTCCTAAACCCACATATGAACCCGAACTTTCTAGTAAAGTTAAGTATCCCATAAGCAATTATGTGTCAAACCATCGATTGTCAGAATCAAATTTGTCATTTGTAAATCAATTATCTACTGTATCTATTCCTAACAGTGTGCAGGAAGCCTTAGCTGACCCTAAATGGAAAGCAGCTATGCACGAGGAGATGAAATCCTTGCAGAAAAATAAAACTTGGGAACTCATTGATCCTCCACCAGGAAAGAAACCAGTTGGATGTCGATGGATTTACACTATGAAGTATAAAGCGGATGGCACAGTTGAACGCTTTAAAGTAAGATTGGTGGCGAAAGGTTACACCCAAACCTATGGAATCGATTACACAGAGACATTCGCACCTGTAGCCAAAATAAACACAGTTCATGTCTTGTTGTCTTTAGCTGCGAACTTGGATTGGCCATTGCAACAATTCGATGTGAAGAATGCCTTTCTGCATGGTGAATTATCTAAAGAAGTCTACATAGATCTCCCACCAGGATGCACGATACCCAAAAAGTATAGTCGGAAGGTCTGCAGGTTAAAGAAATCATTATATGGGTTGAAACAATCTCCAAGAGCATGGTTTTGAAGATTCACAAAGTCTATGATAGCCTTTGGCTACCGTCAGAGCAATTCAGACCATACGTTATTTCTGAAGAAACAACAGGGTAAGATCACTGCACTCATTGTATATGTAGATGACATGGTGGTTACAGGGAATGATCCTGAAGAAATGAAGGCTCTCAAGAAGTATTTGTCCAGAGATTCGAAATGAAAGCTCTAGGTCTTTTGAGATATTTTCTTGGGATCGAAGTATCTCGATCTAATAAAGGAATATTTCTATCTCAAAGAAAATATGCTTTAGATCTATTACAAGAGACTAGCATGACAGTATGTCAACCAGCTGAGACACCAGTGGAAGAAGGACTGAAGTTATGTGTTGAGTCCAACCAAGTACCTACTAATAAAGGAAGATACCAAAGACTTGTAGGGAGATTGATGTATTTAGCACACACAAGACCGGATCTGGCTTATGCATTAAGCATTGTTAGCCAGTTTATGCATGATCTTGGAGAGCAACATATGAATGCAGTTATGCGCATTTTGAGGTATCTGAAATCTGCTCCTGGAAAAGGAATGCTAGTTATCAAAACATAGATGCATGTACTGATGCTGACTGGGCTGGAGCTATAGATGATAGGCGATCTATTGCTGGTTACTTCACTTTTGTAGGAGGTAATTTTGTTACATGGAGAAGCAAGAAACAAAATGTTGTTGCTCGCTCGAGTGTAGAAGCTGAATTCAGAGGTATGGCGCTTGGACTTTGTGAAACTTTGTGGTTAAGACTTCTCTTGCGGGATTTGGGTTATCTACCTAGGCAACCGATTAGACTTTATTGTGACAATAAAGCAGCATGTGATATTGCTCATAATCCAGTTCAACATGATCGTACAAAGCATATCGAAATAGACAGATTCTTCATTAAAGAGAAGTTAGATGAAAAAATTGTGGAGTTGCCTAAGATTTGATCTGATGATCAACTAGCCGACATTCTCACCAAAGCAGTCTCAAATCAAGTATTTTCAAAAATTTTAGACAAGTTGGGCATGTGTGACATCGATGCACCAACTTGAGGGGGAGTGTTGAGATTTTATTTTTTGTAATCCGGGATTATACAGATTGTATAGCTGTAGGATTGAATTATTTACTCCTTGATTTAGGGCTAATTGGTAGGTCATTAGTTTCCTATTATTGTATAATTAGTTACCTAGTTTAGCAAGGTATTAGTCTATAAATTGAATGTAATACTTGTTATGAATGATATCGAATAGAGTTTTTTAATTCTCATATTCGTTTTCTGAATTTCAAGACATACAACCGAACATATTAATAAAATTTTCAAATCGTGTGAATAAATACAACCATCTTAGGGTTATTAATCTCATCACCAAAGATAATGCATGACAAATCCGGTCTGGAATGGATCATGACTATTCCGATTAGTGTGGGTTCAAAGTCGAGCATAAGAATTTAGGTTCAAAGCATCCTTTAAAGTTTAATCCAACAATCCATTTTCATATAACTGGGCCCGTTTGGCATGCATTTTGTTTTAGGCGTTTTGTTTTTGGTTAAAACAGAAACAATGTTTTTACTATTGGAATGTTTTGGCAAAAATCGGAAGCACGTTTGGGAACGATGTTTTTTTGTGGAAATGTCAAAAACAGAAACATGAAAAACATGTTTGGTAAGCCATGCGTTTTAAGAATTTTGAAAACAACACATATTTGGTAACTCCAACTGTTGTATAAAAAAAATAAAAAATAAAATTAAAAAAAAAAGTGTGTGTTTGGTTGTCATTGTTTTTAATTTATTTTTATAAATTTTAAATATATTTATAAATTTATTTCTATATAAATAGTCTATATATTTTTAATAAATATATTGAAATTTGAACACACAAACATACATACATATATATATATATAGCCAAAGTGTAATTACAGAAGCAACTGTTTCAGCGAGACCAATGTTTTGGCATCAATTTGAGGCTTGATGACATGTAGAGTTCTATCTTTTTACTGTGTTCTTATGATCTAGATTTTAAGATCACCTTTTTCATTTCTAATCCATCTATTTGGAGTCAAACTTCACAAAACATCTATCAAGGAGTCATAACATAAAAAAATTTAAAAAATAAAAAAAAAAAATTTAAAATCACCCTGCTAGAATGGAAGCTTGCAAGGAAGCTTCTCAAATTATACTCATTCTTCTGTATTAGGAAAAATGACAAAGAAATTGAGAACAAATTAAACAGTAGATTAAATTAAACAGGAGATATAATTCAAAGTTCAAACACAATCACTTCATTGTTTACAAATTTCAACAACAGAATTCAAAAACGAAGAAAAAGATGCTTAACAAATAAAAAGATGTTTCCTTATGTTTTCTTTACAGGAGACATACTTCAAAAAACACAAATTTCACTTCCATGGAACAAGCTTCAATAGTAGGACACGTCATCTTCATAACAGCACACATCACCTTCAAGAGAATATCAACACACTTCATATCTGTAATGGTAGAATTTAAGTTGAAAAATATTAACAATAATATTAGCTAGTAATAGTAATAGTAAAAGCAAAATAATAACAGCAAAAATGATATATATTACATATATATATTACAAGCCCACAATAGCAACACATATATTACATATAAAAGAAAAAACATACCATCAGTTTCAGGAAGATCAAGAGTGCCCAAGAGAATTTCAGATTCGATCAGCAATAGTATTACGCAACTGATCCATTTCTCGAGAAGGATCGTCACCATCAAATAAATCATTAGGCTGATATTGATTTCTAATGAAGTTGTGTAAAAAACACATCGGCTGAAGGGATTGAAGCACAGGTCTCCATGGCAACAACTTATTTATTAAAAAAAATCAAATAACAACATATCCCTCAAAATGCCTATTATCTACCTAGCATGAACTCATGGTTCCTCAACCTCAGCAATGAGCTTGCAAGAGAGAGCACCAAATTTTACAAGTTCCATGCAAAAATTCAGATTACTAAATAGTTCATCATTGAGATATGAACATGTAAAAGCAAAATTATAGAAGATTTGTTTAAATCATGAAAATCAAATGAGGGAGACATAAAATTTAACATTGGTATAATATATAAAAATTAGGAATCTAGAGTGAATCAAAATTTTATACACCAATCAGTATGCAATATCAAAAAATCAAATTGTTACATGTTATATTCGCCTTTCCTGGTTCCCACTTTTAACAAGCAAAAGAGAAATCAAGAATTTTGCAAAATGACAAAAGGTCTCAATCATACATCCATACCTCAGATAGGAATACAAATACATTGTAGAAGACTACACACAACTTAATAAGAAATTCACTTAAACAAATCTTTTCCTGAAAAAGTGAATTCAGGTGATAATAAATCAAGATTCATTATTAACAATCTAATAATGTACAGTTGCTTTAAAATAGAAAGTTGTATGTCAAATCTTCAAATCAAATAGAACAATAGACTCCAACACAACACTATTGTAGTAATTAATCTAAAAAACTGAAATAAAAATTTAGGATTTATACAAATATAAGATTATTAGGCTCCAACACAGCACTGTTGTGGTAATTAATCCAAAAACCGAAAGAAAAATTTAGGGTTTCCACAAATATTGGTTTCCCTTCAAATATAAGCTCAAATCTAACAATATAGAAGAGTTTTATGTTCGTAAAATTGAAAGAAAAATTACGGTTTTCAGGAAGAATAATTTTTTTTAAAAAAACCTCCAAAATCAAAGAATATTACACACCATCTATGAATTTCCAACAAAAAAACTAAAAAAAATACATAAAAACAGTCAATATGTTGAACTTAATCGAACAAAGTTAAACCAAATGGGTCAAACATGGCTTCTTCTTCAACGAAAAGTGTAAAGAGCTTTAGATCGGTGGTGGTTTTAAGCAAAAAGACTTAAATTGATCGAAGTTTTTAAGACCCAAGCACTGTATAGTCGAATCGCCCTAAATCACCACAGAGAACATCGATGGAGGAGAGAGAAAGTTGGGGTGCAAAATGACCTAAAATATTTAAGCGTCGCCTTTATACTTGTTGTAGAGTGTTATAAGTTTGGCCGAATTACTTCCTCCGCTACAGTGCATGAAGTGGGCCAAACAATGCTGAAACAACTTAAAACACCATTTTGGTGTTTCAAGTTTTGGGCCTTTTTCTTAAAATGTTTTACAACTGTTCCAAACAAAACATAAAGAACCAAACATACTTTGGGCCACTTTTGGGCTACTGTAGCGACCTGCAACAAAAACACATGAAGTAAAACAGATACCAAACAGGAAAGCATTCATCTGCACCTCAGACTCGCTAACACCAGCTATAAACAACCCAGATAACATACACCCTTCTCTTCATGTCTACTATACGATCTGCACTACAAGAGAAAATAATACATTTACATGCAAAAGTAGAACACAACCAAAACTCCCAACATATAATAATCAGCTGCCTATATTTCAACAAACAACAACAACAATTATATGTCACAGCTTCCGGCACCTGTTATTCTTCAATCGAATTAGCACCCAGATGCATGATCCTCAAATGTCAGAGAGATACCATTTTCCGAGTACTTGTAACAAATTACAACCATAATACTAGCGTACATTCCTTTTTTATATTCACAAGATTTCCACCGGACCACTGCATAATCCAGCATACAGTCGTTGAATCATAGGAGGTTGCTTATTTCTGCACAAGACAATTGAGATACAAGGTTAAGTGACAGAAAATATGAAGTAGGCTATAAAACATTTCGGAAATTTAATTGAAACAGCACCCCAATATATTGGACACCAGTCATATATTCAATCAATCTTCTTCGCAACAGAGGAAAAATATTTATTTGTTTCCATTCTCAGATTCATGTGTGCGGTGGCTGGTAAGTTTTTTTTTTTTTCCTAAATACTGCTGGTAAGTTTGAATGACAGACCTACCAAAACCACCAAATACCAGGCCACTGAAGAACCCATATTCTATACACTATAAATTGGTGTTTGTGTAAACATGGTAAATTCATTGACGAGTAATTGACTAACACTGAAGATTACCAGCAAAGTATAATTTTTGTTCCTATTTATTTCTTTTGTTGAACAACACCCATGCTAGCTACCATCCAACAGGAGTATTCCACCTCGTATGAACTGATGTGTGCAATCACCTTTTGGAGCATTTTAAATAGGTCAATTTCCTTACAATTATAGACACGTTACAGAATTCAATATTGATAACTTGTCAACCTTTCTGAACGTATAGGCTTATGATTTCGTTTTTATGAGTGGCTCCATTGAAGAAAATTGTATATGTGATGGAAGATTCGTTGTCCTGTGATGTCCTAGTGCTAACAAATCTGAAATTTTCATCATCAACTGGCACAAAAGATGAATAAAGAACAATAACACAAGACATACCATTTCAACATTCAAGTTCAACCTTGAAGAGGAGACCCTGGCTCAGAACCACAAATCGTTGAAAATGATATGGCATCTTCTTCTGTCATGGCCACAAAGTTCAGTGGTGAAGTAGACAGTCTTCTCATTTCTTTAAAATACCCATTTTGATGCCGAAAATAGGAGCGTGGCGTTAGAAGCTCTGCAGTTGGACCAGCAGAGTTTCGGTGAGGTGTTGGAGTCGTGGATCCATTTCCATTCACTCGATGTCCATTTGCCTTCCAAACATTATTATTGCTTCTTCTTGGACTGGGTTTCGACCCATACATTGCTTTCTTCTCTGAGAGCAGCAGATCTTGGAGCTTCTTTTGGTCCTGAACAGAGGATAAGAACCATTCAACAGAATATCCTAAGAAAAGATGGAATGTCTACATGAGGCATTTAAAAAAAAAAAAAGAACAAGTACTAAGGTTGAGTTTTGATCTAAAAGAATACAGTTTTTGTTTGGTTAAATGAAATTACCTTGTATCGTTTCCTCTCCTCTTCTTTCTGCTGTATGGTTAGTTTGTAGTCCTCCAAGATTGATACCAATCGGGCCTGCAAAAGATGTTGAATACAAGTTGATTTGAATAACAGCACCACCAGAATAGAGTGTGATCTAGAATCTCATGCTACCAAAAAACTCACCCCATCATAAAGAAACAACTTATTTTTCTCATCTTCCCACGCTAATGTCTTACTTATCAAATTGTTAATCATCGCTGAAAAGAGTAGCTTGTTAGCTCCAAAGGATAGTGACAGCTCAGGCAAAAGATGACATTATTTATCATGCCATAATGGAATACCTGGAATCTTATTTACAGTAATTCGAGCACGTTCTGCACGCTTTAAATTTATGTGAGCACCTCTTCCAGAACTGTACTTCTTGTCATCCTGAGAATCAGCAAGAGCTCTTAGAAATTAACAATATCCAGAAGTTCTCACTTTAAACGGTAAAATGTAGATAAGAAATTATGATTTATTCACATAAATTTTACTCTTTTAAGATAAAAGAACAGAAATAACTGACACAATTCAAGGCACTAGACTCCTTTATTCAGAAGTGACAGGCTATATAACCACAATCATTTACCTACCCAAAATAATAATAATTAAATAAAATAAAACAAGAAGAAAAAGTAAAACTATACTTATGTATAGCTTACTTGATTATACTCCTCGAGCCATTTTTCCTCTTCACAGGCAGAAAGCCATCGTTCTATCCTATCCATAACTTCCTTTCGGCTCAAAGCTTCTGCTTTTGCTTTGTTTATTTGTGATTCAATGTTTGCCAGAAGTTCGCCAGGATCTACAAGACCTGAACAACAGAATTATTTTAAATGCATTATTTTGCAAAACAAGTTCAAAATGTTAGAAGCAAGCAGTTTACTGTATAAAGACAATATATTATTACTGGAATCTATCATTGCATTAGACTTCTCAGCAGTTGTGCTTTGATCAGGTTCAATATGGATCTTATAGCATATATCCTCCAACTCTGACCTCCTTTTCATAACCAGCTCTTTCATTCTGCTTGCTTTCAGTTTAGTGAGCCTCTCCACTTCTGCTGATGCCTGACAGAAAGAAATGCATATTTTAGTAATGAAATTTCCAACTAGTAATAATTAACAAAGTGAGGCTGCTTTCAAACCTGCTCGAGAATCTCTATTGAAAGAGCACCTGGTTCCACAAGTTCCAGTTCTGACAATCCAAGAACAGAGGTAATCCTTACAAAGTTGCTTCTATCTTCCTTTGTTGAGTCCATCAAATTCCAAAGTTCAAATAGTGACGCGACAGTATCTTTCAGCTGCATTTCACAACAGTGATTACCTTAGATAACAAGAGAGAACTGAAGATCCGCTCTTAACTATTGGGGCATAAGATTACCTTCTGAAATCGAACTTTTCTTTCCGTCTTCAACCTAAGAATGGCCTGCTGCAGGCCTCCCAACGTGCTGTCACTCATGTTAGTGGACTGTTCCAGTCTTGTCCCGTGCAAGCTTGGATGCACATCAGTCACTATCTTGCCAAAATCCAACCCAAGCACACCACATAAGTAATGCACCTCATTCACATACTCCAATACTTTATGAAGCCGTTCAGACTGCAAGAAGCAAGAAATGCATCACTATTTCAAATTGAATTACATCATTCAGAATAGTTAAACTGCCTTTATTCTTCAGTATAAGCATGTGAAAATTTCTCTTGTATAATTGCAAACTGTTTACACTGCAGAATCAATATAATGACAACAGGCAACAACATCGCAGAATTTCACTTAACATTTGCATGGGCACAATGCCAAAAGGCACAAAATTCATGGGACCGTGTAAACTGCAAATAGAAAGCAAAAATTCAGTTCCAGTTCTGTTCGTCGCCTGCTATGCTAATTTGAAACAAACATCAATTGCTTATCCGGAGTGATTGATGTCTGCATGTGTGGAGTTAAACTAGTTTCTTGCTTCACTAATATAAAATGCTCAAAGCTTTGGTTCAAAGTCTTTAGCTGTTACACTTGTAAAGATTTCCAGACCTTGAGAAATGTGTCAATAGTGTTCAACCAAATAATACTTGAAAGGTAATGACTTGAGGAATATGTCATCCATTCACATTAAGTGTTTGGTACAAAACACAAGCAGTCACCATCTATCAGGAAGCTAATGTGACAAGTACTGACAACTAAACATATTTTGATTTAACCTTTCGGGGGACAAAAAAAAATTATTTTGCTGTATGCACAGTTAACTAAAGGTGGCATGAAAATAGAACAATAAGGGCATCACCTGAAAAGGCAATGCCTGCATAAATACCTTCTCCTTTTGAAGAGTTTGGAGGTGTGTTTGGTATTCAGAAAGCTTTCTCAGTGACAAGTCCTGTTCTTCCAGATTTAAGAAACCCACAGCACTGGTGAGGTGACTGTATCCTGATATCTCACCAGTGATCTTCTCAATTTGAGTTTTTATCTCTGCAAATTGCTTAATTCGTTCTTCTTTTTTTAGTTTTAGGTCTTCCACCAGTGGCATGACCAACGCTAGTTGCTCTCTCAATGATGTTGACTTCTTCTCTGTCTGGATCTGTTAATTTCATATATGCACAAGTTAAGGAGTGATATTAAAAAAGAAAGGAGGGGGAGGGGGGTGGGTTAACCTTAAAATTTTAATTGAAAATAAAGAACTAACAGATCAATGCTAATGGATAAACTAGCTTCAGCACATAGTTTACTAGCCAAACAAATAAATAACAATTACAGACAATAAATTTGAAACAATCCATAAGAGCAAATTTTTTTCTGTATATATGTACTAAAATCAAGTTCCATTTTTAGCTAAGCACATGGTATAATTTTCAAGCTAAAAACTCGGATACAAGATATACATGAAGGTAACCAATATATTATACAAATTCTGACAAATACATATAACACTAGTCGTCCCCACACTCAATAAAGCTTTCAGTCATGTCGTTATAAATATTTCAAGATAAAATCCTTTGAAGGAATTACCAAAATATAAATAATTAAATAAAGCAAAATGAAAACTCTTTGGAGGGTAAGCAATATGAACATACTTCTACATGAGTTAAGTCTTACCAACATTGATATCAAACTTATTTACATGCCAAGCCTTATTAATTTGATTATATATGGTTCAGTCATTTTAGTTTACTACATGTTTTCTTTTCAACAGTCAATGGTGCAACCAGAAGAGACCGCTGATGGTAAGTCTCCTCTTCCTTGTGCATGGTTTTGCATGGGAGTTATTTTGAATTTTCTTTGTTTCTGCATTCAAACAAAGTGAATTTTGAATCTGAAACTGTAACAAATTCATCCTAATTTCTGTTTGTTCTGTTCCTTCGACTCACATTTACTTTTCCCACAATTTAGCAACAGCTAGTAACAACACCGAAACCCATGGCATGCAGGTTTTGCCCATATCTAAAGGTAGGTCAATATAGAACCAACAATATTTAAACAAATATAAAGAAGGTCATTCAGAAATTAGAAAGGGAGATAATAGTAGGCATCAGAAATTAGGATTGACTCATGAATTTCTTGGAGTCCCATTATCATTCCCCAATTAGAAAAAGGTCAAGACTATCAAGAAAAGATTAAAAAAAAAAAACATGCTAGGAACATAGAAGTGAGGTTAAATTAGAAAACACGTTCACAACCAAAGCCGAAATCTGGAATGTAGTTCGACGCGTGAGGGAGAGAGAGAGATAGAGAGAGAGAGCTTGATTTATGAAGTCAAAGAAATTAGCATCTAAGGAATAAATGAAAAAGACAAAATCAAGAATTGGGTGCACATCAATTGGGCATTTCCCTTATTTGCATATTGATGATCAGTGCTTAATCTCAGAAGAGACTATATCACCCATCCCTGCCATTTTGTCTGATGGCAGATGTTGTACTTCCAAAAACATTATGCATGCCCATGTGAAAATTCAAACTCCACTCAAGCATATAACTAAAGAAAGGTTGTTAAGATATTGTATACAAGGATTTTTACACAAATTCATAATGAGAACCATCCATATAAACATCTCTTGCATAATTAGAACATTGAAGTACAGATTGTTGATCGGAAAGAAGCTTGTTACCAAAAAAAAATCTAATGAAGAAAAGATAACCATCAAGTTGCAGATTCAGTGCAGAATCTAGAAGAATCTGCAATATCCTTTAAGATGCAGATTTAATTGGTTCTGCACATTCAGCTTTTTCCTACAGCTAAAGAGTTGAAACGCAAAAAATGCAGGGACAAATGACCTCAGAATTGGGCAAATCCCCAAACACGTGCTCAATTTTAATATCTTGTAATATGTAATTACTTTCCAAATCTACATATATAATTGTATTATACTGTCACAGTCTCGACCTTATTGTTTCTTTGAAATAGGACACTCTCACATTCTCATACAGCTGTTGTTCTTTCTCCTTGCTCAAGTAACCTAGCTTGTTACCAAATTTCTCGGTAACAAGCTTCTTACCTAATCATTGTTGTAAAGTTAAAGACCTTAACTACTTGCATAATGACCAACGGGCCAGTGGCCTAGCGGTATTAGGCCCTTACTTCCCAAAGGGAGGTCAAGGGTTCAAGCCTCAGGAGGCATTGTCTGTAAGTACCAACGAAGAAAAAAAATAATACTTGCATAATGTATTTAATGCTAACTTTCATTAAAATAACAAACTGATGCTTTATGATCATTTGTTCCCTACTAGGGCATCACTCGTAAATTATTTTAATTAAAAAATACATTGAATCAATTCCGTCAGCTCTTCTGGGTAACTTAGCTGAGTTAATTTTGTGAACACATCAGAAAAAGCTTATTTAAATACTGACCAATCTCAAATAACTCAGTCAACTTAAGTAACTCTCAATTTCACTTTTCATTTTCAAGATAGCTTGTCAGTCTCAGTGACACAAACCACACTACAAGTAGAGTAATTTCATAATCTTCCCCACTAACAAGAATTTCGTGAAAGAAATTGCAATTGCATTTCATTCACTCTGTTGTACCAGAGTATTTGGTCTTTCTAGAATGAATAGGTACACAGAGAGAGACACAGATGCTGATAAAGACAATGACGAGGGGCATATACTTCCAACTATGATGTACTCTAGATTGAAATCAACCCCATTCTACAATAAAATTAACTGTTGGTTTACAATAAACTATAATTGAAAATAATTGATAGTATATAATGTATGCTCACAAGGAAACACATTAACAAGTTTGTTGGAAGACTGATAACAGGCTAATAAAGGCTTTATTGTTGTTAGTTATATTCAGATTTTCCAAATCTTTCTCCAGCCTCTGAAACTCAATTGAATCTTTAAGTTATTATTTTTACAAATCCTTGCTACCCGTCAACATGGATTTTGATAAATACAAAAAAATATAGAAAATTATAGAAACTGTGCCCATCATGTAAAGCACCAACAACGCATCACCATATCAGATTATGGATACGTTAAGAACTTCTATAAAATCAATTGAAATTGGTAACAATATTTTAAAGAAACTAAAGAAAATATCTAATAAATTGTGATAGTCCGGGGTGTCCTAGAGGCCAGAACAGCCATTAATAGCCATTAACGGCCAATTTGAAGTTTAAGTTGAATCAATGGTTGGCAAGGTTGCACAGCCTTCTTCAGAAATTGTATGTATAATACCAGTAAAACCTCTAAGTGACAATTTTCTATCCACTAAGATTCTGACCTTAAAAGGTTTTGACCAATTACTGTAATATAATTATTTTCCAGTTGCCATGGTAAAGAAAAGGTGAATAAGACAACCAATCAATTATACAAGTTATCTATTTCTCATTTACACTGAATTCCTTGCTGTTTGCTAGTCCCTCATCTATGAGACATTATAATTGACAGCCAAGGGCAAATAATCCAGTCCTGCTCCTACTGCACATCCCATGAACCAAGGAAAAAGGACTTTAATTCTGAATGAAATGATACCAATAGCACCAAAATAGTTCATGAACAACCCAACCCACCTTTTATTTTTGAATTTCTTGCAACTTAATTGATTCATCATTAATATTAAAATTAAGACAAACTTTAGAAAGGTGCAGTTGATTTTATCAATCTGAATGATGATTTATATACACTTCAATGACAATACGTCCAGCACCCGCATAAAGTGATCAAAGTACTTTGAAGATGCAAGTAATTTTAGCAGAAAATATCATCTGAGCTAAGCTAACATCCAACTAACCTAACCTATTTTTTGTTTAAAGTACACAGAATAAATGGAAATCAAAATTACTCTTAACAAAATAGAAGGGAACAAATATAAATAAAGGTGAGAAAAAATGATGCATCAGTGAAACAGAAAGGAAAGAACTGATAATGAGAGTTTCAGTTTGTACAGAAGCTTTCTTTTTACCGGTGACTGAAGATTGAGTTCCCCAAGAGCAGCCATGAGTGTTGCAAGCTCAGCTTCCTTTGCAGCAACCGAGTGATGAAGACGAGCTTTGGCATTGGCAGCCTCATCCACTTTTCTATGATAAACTGCTAAGCACTCCCTCTCCAGCTCCAACAACATGCGATCTTTATCAGCTTCAGTCTCACCAATGTCATTCCATATTTGCTGCTCTCATCATAACAAAAAGAACATATTTGTTATATGGCTCTGTTTTCATCTCTTAAATGATAAACATAAAAACTTGAACTTGATGGGTATGGGACACGTTTGTTATAAAATTAAGAAAAGTACACAACAACAAAAATTGGATGCAAGGAAGCAAATGAAATTTGACCCAAAGTAGTGTTATTCATCGTGAATTAAACTAAGTAAACAACAATTTCTCACAACATTAACAAAAAAAAAAAAAAGGTATGTATCTTCAAATCAGATAACAACAGATGAACTGAACATCTCCCCAATTGAAGTACCCACTGCTTCTTCCAACCACGAAAATAGTTACAGAATTAAGAAAAGCAGACAACCCACATCCATTGAACCAACCACCTACCACAACTCAGCTCATTTTGCAAAAACCCACTTAAATTCGATCCCAACAAAACACAAATCCTCTTTCAAACCAGCATAAGGAGAACCAACAACATTTGAAACCAAAATTAGTTGAGAAAGAAAAGAACCCAATAGACCAATGCACATATAAGATGTTCCAAAGATTTTATTATTATTTATTATTCATTAAAAACAACAACAAAACCAAACAAAAGAAGGTAATGGAGAGAGAGACCTGAAGTTCTGAGAGTAAAGTATTGCAACTAGTGGTGGTGCGGACACTGGTAGGAGTCCCCATTGCAAGCACCCTCCAAGAAAGGTTGAGAATCTACGTGTTTTTGCGAGAACCCAAACCCCAAGAAAGTAGTAAGATATCAACTACAGTGCTCACAGGAAAGAACAGAGGAAACGAAAAGGCTTGGAAGTTAAAAAAAAAAAAAAAAAGTAACAGAGAGAGAGAGAATTTTATAGGAAGACGGGAAGGGGAGGAATTAGAAGGGTTGGTTGTTTGAGGGTTTTAAAGTGGAATAAAGAAGAGAAGAGGAGCATCAATAAATAATGATTATATGATAAGCGAAATTTCTTCTGTGTCTACATCTCCCTGTGCTTGCTTAGTCAGATCTCTGGAGCTTCCTCAAAGCTCAAAATATGCACCTTCCTTACCCACTAATACAAATCTACAAACAGTGTGTTTCTTCAAATTAAAATAAAAAACCCAACAAAAATCAATGACGAAAGCCAAAAAAAAAAAAAGAAAAAAAAAGGGTATCTCTATCGATATATCTATCTGTTTGGTACGTATAGATAAGCCAAATGTATCAAAACACCAAGAGATCACAACCACCATGAACACTGCTTTTCATAATTTGGGAGTTCAGCTATTTTGCGCCAAATACCTGTATTGAACCTTCTGCGCACATTAGCACAGAGTTCCATGTTTTTGTTTTTGCCCTCTTTTTCTTCCTCTTTTTCTCCCTCAAGGAAGTGAGTGAGAGTGACGTTTCAACAGCTTTTTTTAGGTATTATAATGTCTTTTTCCTTCTGTTTTTTTTTTTTCTTTATTTTTTTTAGGTACCATAATGTATATGAGTATTTTTTATTTTATATATATAAATGAGTAAATCACTGTAACATCAAAATTTACAGCAAATAATGGACTCTTATAAATCATGTTGAAAGACTAAAAATAAAATTAAGATTATTTTACATAAAGTAACTATACTTTTTAATCAATCAAAGTTTAAACTATTGCACCAAATAGACTATGTATAAGAAAGCTTCATGAATCTTGAAATTTTCAATAATACTAACATTTTGAAAAATTATATTTAAAAAATGACATAAATATCTTTCAGCATTATTATACTACTCCAAAAATCTTTTCAAAAATAACTTTAACAATCTACTAAAAAATGTTATTATCAAAAATACAATCACATGCAAAACGAGATAGACTGGAGAAAGAAACCAGTAGTGAAGCGGGTGGTAGGTTACATCGGGTGTTATTATAAAAAATTAATGTAAGTAATTACCTTTTTTTTCTTGCGCTCTTAATGATGGGCCTTATTAAAGATGACAAAATCAAACATCAAATTTGAGCCAGTACAGTGTATCCATCTAATTGTATGGAAAGGAGACAAAATACTTTTCTCCATAATATTTATTATTTCAATTTTTTTCTATAAATACTAGAACCATACTAGCCACCGTTAAATAGAATCATATATTAATATTAGAATAGTTTGTTTATTATTATTATTTTTTAAAACACTTGTCAGTTGTCACACCAACTTTTCTCCCTTCAAAAACTTGAATTTTGGGCCTTTGATTTTGAAAGATGATAAAATATCACAAAATTTTATTTGTTTGGAAGTAAAATGTTTTCTTAACAAAAAATTTAATGTAAAATATTTTCTTTATTTTTTATTTTTCGGTGTTTGACAACCTGTAAAATATTTTATAAACTACCTTTTGATCACAATTAACTCTCTCTTCTCTATGCTAAAACAAATTTCACTCTCCTTTACAATAATTTCTCTCTTCTCACTCCGTGCAAAAACAATTTCTTTCTTGACCAACTAAAATTTGTATCCCTCTTTCTCTCTCCTCTCACTTTATGCATACATATAAAGAGAGAAGAGAAGGTTAGATTGTTAGATTAGAAGAAGGATTAAAAAAGATTAGTTATTAGAAGGATATAGGTATTTAATTAGAATACGGATAGTTACATGACTTAAGGTTGTCGGAGAAAAATGACATACGAATTTTTTTTTGATATATCATTTTCAGTTATTTGAGAATAAAATGATTTACGTAAAAAATACTTTTTAACTTTAGAGTCTCCCAAACACCAAAAAATGAGAAAAATAATTTTTAAAAAATATTTTACGGAGAAAATAACCAAGCCTAACAAAAGTAATTTTGTAAAAATAAAGTCATGTATTAAACCTATACAACTTTTTTAAGTATTGTGCAGGATTAAAATACAAACCAAGCACATTAATTAGAGAGAAAAACAATTTGGGCCCGAGTCAATAACTGATTTCGTCACGCTATGATATAGACCCAATTCCGACCGTAATTATGATTACAACACACCAAATTAGGTTGTGTATGTGTATTATGTGATAATTATATGAATACGTTGTGTTTAGAATGTTTAACAACTATCAAAGAAATATGCAAATATAGTATAAGATTTTAATATAATAATTATGAATTTAGCAAGGAAAACATGATTATCGTGAAGTTGGTTAATCTAATCAGAATGATGATTGAGGGGCGATTAGACTGGTGTCACATGCCCATCTCATGCGGGTGTTATTGATTGATACTTGACCTGCCATCACTAATATCTTCTTATATATAATTGCTAAATACAATATTGCTTGATTTGGTGGATTGGTATTATTATTATTATTGTTAGGAATAATTTAATAGCAATACTAATAATTATATAAGACAAAGGAGCTAATAGCTGGATCAACAGTTAAAATTTCTATTTTCTGGGGCTGCTACCAAAATCAACGGTTAAAATTTCTATTTTCAATCACCTCTCATGTAAGTAGGTAATGTCACCTCTCATGTAAATAGGAAATAATAATAATAATAATAATAATAATAATGGTAGTCAAAGGCAGCTCAAATGCTCCAAATCGGTACCTAAGTCACATAAAGTTGGAGTGAAAGTGAATTCGAGAACGGGAGAGAAAAAAAGGTAAAATTAAATCACACATAGTAAAAATTTGAACGAGAGCGCGTGCGGAGCGTGAGAGCGATACGTATTGAAATGGATTATGTGACTTAGGTCCGTACTAGCTCAAATTTATAAAGTATGAATACGGATACAAGATGCAAATACAATATGATACAGTCACGACGATACGACAAATTTTAAAAAATAAAATAAAATAAAAAATAAAAAATTGAATAAGGGTACGGCAAAAAGAAAAATAAAAAATACATATTTATACAATATATAAACAATATATTTTTTATCAATTTCATTATGGAATTAAATGGAATCATTAGCAATTCATTTCACAACATATAAAACAAGTATCTCTAATCATCACTTGATAAAATTTAAATTTTTCTTAATAATTATACTATTAAGAATGTATTAGATACATTTTAATATTCAAAACTTGTTTAAAATATATTATGATGTATTTGAGAAGTATTAGATACGTGTTAGAAATTTTAAAATATATTTTGAAATTATGAAATAAGTTTTTTAAATACCGAATATTAGTGGATATTAACACGTATCCGTCAATATCTGAAGAGTATTAATATTTAACACGTATTCAAATATGATACGTCACTCTCGTAGAAGTATATGTATTCTTTAGCTTGCACATGTTGTGAGCTCAGAAACACCTTTGACAAAAGAAACATAGTTGCTTTTGCAAGTCGAATATTACCATTTTCTAACAAGACAAATATTACCACCATTATTTTTAATAAATCACTGCACCAAACCCAAGCATCGAACATTCTCTAAAAGGACTTAAGGATTATCTAAAGCAGTAGTGGATAAAATAAAGGCTAGTTGAGAGAGGAAATTCAACAAACAGTAATCACTGTGCTCTCTGTTAAAAAGGGAAAAAGAAAAATCACTTATAACTACCTTTCCCATTATAGAAAAATAAATCACCGGCTGAGTGGAGGATAATTGACACATAGTAGCACCAAGTGATAATGGGGTTGGCGAGACACAATCAAACGAAATGTGGCCGAAGACAACTTAGAGGTGAACTTAACAAGCTCTAAATGATGATCATGATTCCAAATAGCAACCAAAAAGAACTCTAAACATTGAGTGTGTATAGAGAATAAGGCTTAGCTTAGGCTAAACATAATTAAGTTTAAACTATGTTACCAAACAAATCTAAATTGTTCTTCGGATTGGCTCGATTTAGGTAATTATTTTAGTTCGACTCAGGTCCAACTTTCATGTAATCGTTATAATTCATTTGATTCTAATTGACCCTTTAAATTAATCAGTATGCAGTTCACGTACACTAAATTCTATGGGGAGGAGAACATCTATCTAAAAATTGAAAACAAAATTAAAACTGGATGGCTAAACTCATAAAACCTGCTATTACTTGAAAACTCGATACACATTTGAACAATATATATATATATATATATATATATATATATTTCTATTTTCTAATCACATTTGAAGGAAAGAGAGAATAGGAAAACTGTTGACATTTTCTATGTCTTTTATCTTTAAATGGACAAAACCAACCAAACCACCAGAAGGTCATATTTAAATGGACAGACCAAATTATAGAATTCCACTTCATTATATAATAGAATCATATTGCCGTGTGGTAGACCCCACAATTCATAAAGTGCCACAAGATGCTTTATCTACCAATAATTTAATTATTGGAGCAGTCTCATTTAATTGTACTCATAACACAAAATGGCTTTTTTAAGTGTCGTATCATGTATGTATTTATTGCTGAAGCAAAAAATCAAGAATCCTTTTTAATGAAGTTTGAGACAGAAGACGGTACCAATACATGCTTAAGAATGTGTCTGACAAATTCTACGATATCTCCACATCATTCAACACCTCACAAACTTCACTGAATCAAAAAAAACTGTAATTTAAAATAATATTTACTCATTGTTGGTGAGTTAGTTCCCTTATGCATAAAGGCAAGGACGGTATAATATTAACACACATTTCACATTTGTTTGTGCACCTGATTTAGGGGAAGTTTCCTGGAAGGCTTACTCAGTTTTCGACTAGTTTCGAGGATAGTGCCAAACAGCACCTCATTTTCAGTTGAACTTGATGCTTACTGTGTCAAACTGTTTTTTACCATTGGTGTTAGTTAATTAAGTCTATATTTTTCCAATCATATTTTGCTTGGCATTATCTGAACATAGATGGCTTCTTTCACATTTTATGTAATGTTATAATATAGAATTCAACATCCTGAAATCATTTTTGGTTTGCTTAAATATAACTGAAGATCAATAGAGACAAAAAAAAGAGAACCAAAACTAAACGAGCTCACTGTCATTTTATTACAAAGACATTGATTCAGAAGATGCTCACTGTCATGCTATTACAATTTCCAACAGAGAATTTAAGCCTAAAACAAACCTAAAACAGGCATAGATGTGGATTGGAATCCATATACTCGCACGTGGAATCCATGCGCATGAGTTCTTCGATGGTCAGGCCTTCAGTCAAACGGGAAAAATACCACCCTCCGGGGATCTGACCCACAGCCGGATGATGATAAAGGTGAGGTAGGGGCATCGATAGCCCGTGAACCACAATTCTCTTATTATACGCCAGATTGGGAGTTTGAATTCCGACGTGATTAATAAGCACACGACCTGTTGGACCTCCCCTGTTCGGACCTCCCCTGCTCACAACCAGAAATTGGTTGAGTTGCAGGGTAGGTAGACTGGTCAGCGGCCGAAGCCTTATTAAATCATAATGGGTGAGCATAAGGTTCGGCACTACGTAATAGTTGAAGTCCCTAAGGTATACCTCCTCCACCGAGGAGAGCTTCGTGTCGTCTAAGACGAAAATGGTCATATTGCTCAACTGTGCAAGCTCATCCAATCGAACGAGCATAGCCCTAGCGAACAAACTGTAACCCATGCTATGTAGGCGGTTGGTAGTCTCCTCAATCATCATGGTAGACATAAACCGCATCGGCTCCAATGGCGCCATTTTAGCAGATGCCCGATCCAAGGGATTACAAGGTGAGAGCGAGACGGTCTTCCCAAGGGCGTGAACTACCACGGAACCGTCGTTCGACAGATCCGGATTCGTGAGGTGTGCGCGGCCGACGAACGTAACAAGGTCTTTGACCTTGTACGTGTCAACGGTGACACATTGGCCCGGTGCTAGCGTTTCGAGCTTTGTACCGGGCTCAAGGTTGCGAAGGTCCTGCAGTAGATAGCTGCCGTGGACGGTGTGCTCGCGCACAAAGAGAAGGGAGGAACTGTTGACGATGGAATCATCGGGCGGAGCAAATATGGTTATCGGTAAGGTCACCGTTTCCATTAAAGACTGGACGGAAGCAGCAAATTTGAGGAACCTCAGGGTAACGAAGAGCAGCCGCAGATTGTGCCTGTACTCGACTGAATGAGATGCTGGACAAGTTGAGGACGGCGAAGGCGGCGAAGGCGGCGAAGGCGGCGAAGGCCTTGAAGAAGCGTCCTTTGGATAAGAGAACTCGGAGGAGGCGATTCCGATTCGTAAAGCCACGGTTGAGTTTGAATTCCCCCCCCATGCGACGGCCGTGAGAAGCAAGACGAGAAGAATGGGCACCATTCTCGAGGCTAGAGAGTATGTAGGAGCAGTGGTGTGAATTTAATGCGCTAGTGTGCACTTTATATAATGCGCTCCTCAAGTGTGCTCTAGAGGAGGAAATAAGATCGCGACTCGCTTTAATGGATCGCGAGTAGAAAGAGAAAGTATACGTGCGAGGGTGTGACGCGAGTGTCTGACTTGTAGTTGGTCAATGGCTAATGCGAATAAGGTCTTCTAGTTGGTCAATGGTTACACTTTTCTTTTTATTTATTTTTTTTGTCCGCGTGGTTAACGGAAACCCTAGATGAAAATTGCCTGGAATAGAGAGATGGAGCTCCCATAGATGTATCCGCGCTCCTCTTCCGCGGAAATTCGCACCCGTCTTCCGCGAATCAAATCGACAAAACGGACGCGGAGCAAAAATTCGCACCCCTCTTCCGCGAATCAAATCGACAAAACGCGCGGAGCAAAAATTAGCACCCCTCTTCCGCGCTCAAATCGACAAAACGCGGGCGGAGCGAATCGCACCCCTCTTCCGCGAATCGAAATCATGTAGTGTGGGGAGTTCGATATCACTCAACCAATTGCAACTGGCTCCAAGCTAGGCTTGGGAAACGAAATTCTGTACACCATATATCATGTATTATCTTATCATCCATGGCTTTATTTTACCATTTCTGCTTTCTGAATTTTGGAAATTTTTATAAAATGTTAATTTTCAAGTTTCATTTTACAACGGACTAGAAGTATATTGCAAAACTTGGGGAAAAGCTCCCCGAAGTCGGGCAGTTTTCAGGAACTGTTTCAAACTGTTCGTGAAAATGCCCCACCTAGCAAATTCTCTTATTCGTTTTAATTTTCCTGTCAATTTTTATGAATTACATACGAAACTGTCCCCTGCATAATATAGAACCATAACATGCAGCAGGACTAGGGTTTATTCCAATAAGCATTCAATTCAAAAACTATCACACTTTCATTATACATATTTAAACATATCATTTAGAAGACATCCTATTGATTGACTGTCAATGAGGACTTACAATACAATAGAAGTTAAGTTCTCACCATAGTTGAAGCCATAATTCAGTTTCTTGCTGTTCATAGTTAAGTATGCATTAGCTGCAGTATGAAACTTGACCAGTTCATTTTCAATACTCCGAAGTTGCATCATTTGCGCTTCAGGGCAAGAAGTGGCAGGATTCCTTTCTTACGACTTGAGTCCATTAGATTAAAACCAGCAACTTCCTTATGAAATCGGTCGAACATTTCGTCGATCATCTCACTACCAAAGTGTTCTGTTATGAGTCCCTCCAAGGCAGCCCTCATGCTCATACTACATATTTGCGCATCCAGGGTGTCATCATTCCTCGATTGTGGATGTGTTGTCATCATTCTCTCAATGCCAAAACACCCATTTCTTTCTACCAGGCATATCACCTCCTCGGGAGAGGCAGTGTACACAGGCAAGTTGAAGGAGTCCACTTGAGCTTCACTTGTCAAACCCTGTCACAAAGACCAACCATAAGTGTCCATATGTAACAAACTAGCTCTATACTACGACGTTTTACGGCCTAGTTGCTTCAATTTTATGGAAATAGTTTTCTGTTATCCGAGGGCAGATCTAATCATATGTTGATATGTTTCAAACTCACCTCCTTTGGCCATATCCACGAGGGAAGATCCCACTTTATCATACATCACACCGCATCCCATCCCAGTTTGCCATATCATGAATGCCATCTGGGTTACATATCATGATAAGCAGCAACATCCCTCCAGCCACAATTTTTTAGCCCTGTTGTTCAAGAAGTTGTCCATGTCCTTGGCAAATTGAACTGCAAAAGCATTTGCTACCCTACCTCATCTGCTGCACTCGAGTAATAGATCCTGCCCCTGTTCCATGCTGCAGAATCCTTGTCTGCTACCTCCTCTGGCACCTTGGAAAGCCACTGGAGCGCATACGAGGCATGCATAATGTGGATGCAGGACTCGGGGAATAAGCAGCCGTAGAAAGAACCTGGCACACCTGTGGCAAAGTATCTTCTCTCAGGAGGGAGGAAGGTGAAGAGGGTATTGAAATCACTTGTGACATGATCGTTGAAGAACACTTGGAATTCGAGTAATTGAGACTCAAGGCCTTTGGATCTGTACTTTTCTTCCACGGCTTCTATTATATTTTGCATGGCAATGTAGGTATTTGGTCCGACCGAGCATCCCAAATCTGCAATCCGAAATGTGTTTGAAGTGGGAAAGAATTTTTCAATGTCAAGCTTCTCGGCAATTGACTCATGAATCATCGCCTTAGCGATTATTGAAGCTTCTCTCTGCAGAACAGTTCGCCCGTTCACAATACTTCAACCCAAGTTGGAAGTATTCTTGCATTCCGTCCCATGTGAAACAACGTATAGACTTTTCTGCTATGTTTCTGGGTTTTTTTTTTTTCTTGTTTTTCATATACGTTTGTGTGTGTGTATATATATATATATATATTTGTTGGCATATATATAACTGCAATACAAATACTCCTGTGAGTGTGTATGTACATTTATATTGAGGAACGAAGGGAAGTGTGTAAATTGAGGATGTGCTGACCATGCAAATTGAAGTTCAGCCTCAAGTGCTCTTGGCATGCATATGGGAGCATGAGAAGATAGGAGCATCCGAGCATGCTCCCTGGCTAGTATACAAAAGTTATTAACACATATATATATGTATGTTCATTATATATGCATATGTAGAGAGAGAGAGAGAGACGTTGAGTTTTTCATGTAGCTGTGTACGCCATCTCCGCCGTTCATGGGACATGATTTTGGCTCTGAGACTGTGTTGCTGCCTATCTCTCTCTACAAGTTTTGGTGTCCAGTGAGAGCTCTCTCTTGCTTTATATAGCTGAAAAATGCCATATATATATATATATATGACTAGGTTCTGATGGACCTAGCTACAAATGGAGTAGTTGATTCGTAAACAAACTAAAATTGTATTCTCCCAAAACTTATAAAAAAATCCAATTTGAACTTGTTTAACCTTACTTTTAAAGTTCAAATATTGTGAAACAATAGTTATAACAAATTAGTACTCTTTAATTCTGCGAGCCATAGAGGTTTTGTCAGCCGCTTGTAAATTTCTCTCTCTCAAGCAAGTCTTCCCAAGATTTGCAATTTTTTTTTTGGGGGGGAAGTTAAGGTGTAATATTGATGTAAATATAACTGCACATAGGCCAAAGCCCAAAAGGGCAAAAAAAAAAAAAACATAGGGGCAATACAGCCCAGCGTAAGCAAGGCCCAACCCATCTCAGTTGAAAGAAGACCATTTTCTCAATGATAGAATCAGTGTGTGCGCGTGTGGCTGGAATCTCTTATGCAACAATGCCACAATGGCATTCAAAATGGGACACCAATCAGCAGCCGTTCATTGTTTGGGATCCGGAGGGCTAGCCGTCCAAGAAAAAAGAATAAATAAATGGTATTAATTCATGGATATAGACCGGGTGGACAAATAATCCGCAAATCCAATCTGATTCAGTCCGATTTGTGGGGATCATATTGGATTGCTACACCCATGAATCAAATCACGGATTGGGTTTTTAAAAATTTGATCCGTGAATCCGACCCGATTCGCAAAAAAAAAAAAAAAAAATATATATATATATATATATTCAAATAATATATTAGTTAATGACAATTTAATTATTCTAAGGATTTATTAGTTAATAATTATATAAATTTATGAATTAAAATAAATAAATTAAAATTTTATCTATTGGGTTATGGTTAAAAAACAAATGAATAATAAATAATGTTAATTACAAAAATATTAATAATAATGAATAATTTAGATAAAATTCAATCCGCGGATTCAATTCGATCTGATCCGTTATTACACGGATCCGATCCGTGGGATAACGGATCGGTGGCGGATTAAGTTTTGTCTATTCCGTTGCGAGTGGATCATATTAAGATTAATGTCTAATCCAATCCGTGGCTACACCTAAAATTTTTTATTGAATTAAAATTTGTATCATTTAATAATATTTTTAATAATTACAAAATATATTTAAAAGTAATTTTTTTAAATAAAAGTGCTTAGTATATAAATTTAACATGGAACGAGATGATCCATATCTTCCTCGATAAAAGCTAAATTGAAGTCTTTGTTCACCAGTTAACGTTGTAGACTTGAGTGTATATATAGCTAAAATAAATACATTGTCATTTTTATAGTGGTAAATGTTGACCGATCTGTGTGACACGGTAGTCTCCAAGGCAAGTGGAAGTTCTCTAATTCGAGTAGTTGATTCACTTTCAATTAGGGTATTTTTCTTAATAGTATAGTGTTACCAACCAAAGAGGAATATGCTAGGTGCAACCGTGATTGTGGAAGGATCGTTTTTCGGTTTTTTGATCGCAGGAGTCTTATGATCTATAATCATAACACTAGCACCTCTGACGAATTCTCTGTTATATACTCCCTTCATCAAAAAAATAAATAAATAATTTTGAATCTAACTTTTTAAGAAGACAATTTTTATTATAGGTAGCAATCCCACTTTTGGACTTACGACCTATAATTGATTGACTCGAGAAAGTGAATTTTATCCCCTTACTATAAAGCAAGTGCAACAAGGGTTAAATAAAAAATCACTCTTGGTATACAAAGACTCTATTGTAGTTGAATTTTGTACAGTTCACTACAACTCAAAACACTTGCCACCTCATACCTGCATGATTGATAAAGAAATACTAATATGTTGGGAAACTAAAAATTAAAAAAGAATTCTGCATAAAATATAAGTATGAAAATTTTATGGGTTCAACATGGAATCACCTTTCACATTTATAAAGTGAAATGTGGCTTTCTAGAAAGGTTGTGTGTGTGTGTGTGTTTTTTCAATTAAAAAACTATGTATGTAATTATTTTGAAAAATTATGTCTTTTCATTAAAGACACTATATATATATTTTTTTATCGAAAAGTGATGCCTTTTCATATAAGACATCATTTTTTAATTTAAACACTAATGTATAATAAAG